TTTAATTTCGCAATTTACTGGGCGAGTGTAAATACAAAACTTAAATATGTCAACTTGTCATGTTTTCTTATTTCTTCATTAATATCCACATGATAATTAAAATTTGAACATGAAATATCATTGATGCATTGACTATTTGATGAATTAATCGGAATCATATAAAACTATTTTTTTATTTAATATACTCATTCAAACAGTTAATTTCCGAATACATGTGCACCTATAATCAAAATCAAAGAACAGCAAGTATTAAGATTTATTAAGTGAAGCAATTGTACTTTTAGTGATGCCAACGACGCCATTTTTCGCCACTTGAAACTGTAGCATAAGGAATTCATACAATAATCAAGTTTGAAAGTTCGGTTGGGGTTCGAAAATTTCTTGTCACACTGACTCAAGCGTTGTATGTTCATGACTAAAGTACAGTGCACGTGTACCTGTAGCTAGCTTAAAGAATAAAGATTAATATGCGTACAAGCTGAGCCTGTTTGTAAATAATTATGGGTGAAAATACAAATAACAATATAATGTGAGCGTTTTCCCTTCATTTTGTATCACTACACAATGAAATTCCAAAAAACCTAAAACAAAACGACCTGCACATGTAGAAACCCATCCTGGTGATTATCACGTTAACGTTAGGTTGACCTGCTCCCATAGGATCAGCTGGGTACACTGCTCCGTCACTATAAATTCCCTTATAACACGATTCTTCCATTTACCGCGGGACAACAGGTCACAGTAGACACGACAGTTACATAATACTGGTCGTGTTCTACTGATGACCGCTAATGATTAGGACAAGAGATTAATTAGTGGCTATTAATTACTTGTAATTTAAGCTGGACTGATTTTACAGACGGTATGTGGGAATGGCGCTTAGAGAATGTTTAGTTAAATAAGAGTATTTTTATAGGATCCCTACAAATTATTACACACATTTAAATTTTACTGTGCTTTCTTTTATATTCAAGAGAAATCTTAGCTGTTCCTTTAGCTTTACTGAGCTTTCATTTATATTCAGCCAAAATCTTAAAATGTTCCTTAAAATTTTACTGAGCTTTCATTTATATTCAAGAGAAATCTTAGCTGTTCCTTTAAATTTACTGAGCTTTCATTTATATTCAAGCAAAATTTTATCTGTTCCTTTACTTAGCTCTCTTTTATTTTCAAGCAATATCTTAACTGTTCCTTTAAGTAACTCTTAAAGTTCAGTTATCCATATATCAACACTTGAACTATACTAAAATATAACTATCAGTAAATTTAAGTCGTTTCTGCGTCAAATCTTTTAACATTTTAAATCATATCAAGTATTTCCTTTACGGGGATTTAACTTTATTATATAATAGAAATCAAAATCTTTGTTATAGGTGAATTAAACCATTAAAAGAGGGCGTTGACCATAACACCTTATCCAGTATATTCTTACGTCTTTGGTGCTGAATAAATTTTACATTTTATTAATAAATATTTAAGTTCATTTAGAAGGAAATTAATCATGCTAATGAAGGCGGCGTTCACGTATTGCTATCACAACAGACATTTCTCAATGTCATTTTTCCACACGCGGAAAATGCTAATTTTCCTCCTCAAATTGTTGCAAACCATACCTACAGGAATTCCAATTGGTTTATATACAATAAATTATGTTAAAAGACTTATTAAAGTTCAAATATTTTAAAAAAGCAAGACTCAAAAAACAGAATGTAACTATATGTCTTTTTTGCATATCCTCCACTCTCGAAAGACCTTAATAGGTCCTACGACAGTTTGGTACATGTACCTAAATGAGTCAAGCCCCAGCTGGCCCGCTGACGAAGAGGACATCGACCCCCCCCCCACCCCCCCCCCCCCACACACACACACACACAAACACATTCTATTCTTCTCCGTTAAAAGACAACAGTTAAATTTTTTGCCTAAACATCAACATATAGAACCTACATGGTTTCACCTGTCATATTGTAATTTTTGAATTTACTGGGTGGTAGTAAATACAAAAATTAGAATATGACACATCCCTGTGGTAGCTCATCAAAATGAGAAGGTATAATTATGGTTTCTTAAAACTAGCTATGCTACCTCATCAAGAGACGGATAGTACATGGAACCCAAAATCAGAGACAGATCGTACCTGGTTACCCCCATCCTTCCCAAAAACCATTTTCTTTAACTCAGTCGTGTAACACCCCCCCCCCCTCCCCTAATAGCTCATCAATAGAACATTTAACATTATACCTCATTCAGAAATCTTTGAGGAAAAAAGAAACGCAGTCTTTGAAGAAAATGACATCAATATGTCCCTGATATATTTGAAAAATAGAACATAGCATCTTATTCCTGATAATATCTGAAAGAGAGAATGTAACATCGTGTCCTAGAAATCTTTGGAAAAGAGAAACCAACATCGATTCGCAAAAGACTCCAAACTTACCGGTTGTGCTTCAGCATCATTCGTCAAACTGGCGACTGGATCTTTAAACGGAAAGTCGGCTTCATTTGATTTGGCGAGTTTGTAATTCTCTTCGAAATGTTTAACCCAAGAAGGCGTTTTATCCATAACAGAATTCTTAAATCAGTGCAAGTAATCCAGACAATATTATTACTATATCTTCCTCGCTATTTTCCATTCTTTGGTATTTCACAGTATATTCCTTTGCACAACAAAACTATGTTTCAAACAAATCAAATAAACAACTTTCCAGGTGATGGAACTTGCTTATAGACTCGCATTGACATCCCCCCTCTTGGTTAGAGGAACCGGTATCGTCTCCTGGCCGATGGAATGGGCCACTGAATAATACGGTTCGTGTATCGACGTACAGGTAAGAATTCAATGATGCAGAACCACAGCACAGACGTGTGGAATTGTGCCATTAGCCGAGTCCCCGGGCTGTCATTATAAGCTCATTGTTCTAGGACCGGAGGGGCACAATTGACTAACTCGTGTGTATCGCAAAAAATTGTACACTAATTTTTGGCGCCATCCGTTTTATGAATTGTTTTTAGCAATAATGGTACTTGTATACGAGTGGTTTTTATAGCAAAAATAAAAACAAAGAAATAACAATGTAAATTTTATTTTTGATACCTCGATTTTTGACATTCACATATATAATAGTTTATAAATAGAATATGGTTTATTTGATATTAATTTCACGAAGCTAAAATTGAAAATCCTGAGCCATTTTGGAATCATGTGTACAATGTATTTGATATTTGTAAACGAGAAAATGACAACTCACAATATATGCATTTAAAGTATTTACGCACGTTTTATGTGAATTTGTCATTCCAAAATGTAAAAGAGTTTCCTTATGAGGGTATTACTTCGTTATTTTTGGAATAGAAAAGTTAAATTAACAGTCTGAAGCTCATTATCTCTTGTTCGAATCTCGAAAAACTATTTTTATACGGAAATATTGTAGACAATGACGATTTTATCCCTTAGCACCATATAAAAAAATAATAATTGCTTTCAATTAATTTTAAAAAATCCACGTGTTAATGTAAATTTTCATGTTTATATCCTGAATAGCAATTATTTTAAGTTCTTTAAGAATACATACATCAATACTGAAAAAGGTTGCGCATGAATAGGATAAAATGAGGCCAAAAAAAAAAAGCCGAAATTTCTATTTCTGTACTAATAATAAAATTTTAAAATTTCAAACCATTTAGTGTACCATATGATAGGAAGAGTATCACTTTATAAATTTTGAGGGTTTTTTTGGGGGGGGGGGGGTAAATGCAAAATTATCAATAAAAGAGATTATTGTTCAAATTAAGCTTTTACCCACCACATAAAAGAAGGAAGGCGTGCTGAAACAGTTTATCGCAGTATTAAGACATGAAAACTTCGCACAAAGTTAAATAATAACCATTGACTACTGCGAATTGTAATAAAAATGGCCTGATCAATCTTCAAAAGCACATAATGAAAGAAACGACACTTTTCTATACTAGAAAACGATTGATTTTTATTTGTTGACTCTGGTGAATAAATACATTTTTGGAAGAGGGCTGTCATTCAGCGACTATCAAAATTTTACTTTCTTAATTAGAAATTTCAAGAAATATGCATTTAATTATTTTAATTAAACTTAATCATCTCAGCACTAATTTTAAAATTTGGTATAACTTTTTTCTCATAACTTTTTATAACTTTGTCAACTAGGAATTTTATAAATTCTTTTCTCATTCGTAATACTCAGTATACATAATAGTTATGTTCAGTGATCTCACAGTCATTATTATTAAACTCCACCCAGTTCATAGTACACGGAAATGTATGAATATTATCACGATCAAAAATCACCAGATCACGGTTTGATCCTCCCCCGGGCTCTGTCCGAGCGGCGTGCGTGGGTCATTCGCTGAGCGGCTGACCGTTGAAAATCTGGGTCAAGTCTGTCACAAGTCCTCCGGTGTTAAATATACACGAAAATTCTACATCTGTTTTAATTAAAACTTCACAACATTCAACTTTTGATCCATTTATTATCAATCTGGGCACTTTCATTTCGCAATCTACTACTGACGGGTCAAGATGATAGTGTAATACTTACATATGGATTGTATGATGTTATACTGTATACTGGCTTAATATGGGACTGGAAAATTTGATGGACTTGATAAATTCAAATCAACGGAATGGATAAAATGTACACAAAATTTTGCTTTACATAAGATTATTATAGAACCAAATCATAGGAAATGCAGTTGTACTATACCATTCAAGGATACCCCCCTTCTTTTCAAGCACCAACAGCTTTTATAGAATGAGCATATTCATGATTTCGCAAAAATCAATCATCAACAGGAATAAGAACTAAGCTGGATTATAACTTATACATCGTTTCTATCATTAACACTTTAATTTTAGTGGTGACGAAAAAAAAAAATTGCAAATCAACCATCTGTAACATCAAGCTTTTAAAATCTTAAAAATGCCATTGATAAATATTTTCACATAACCATAAAAACAAATACAGAAATTGAGACTTCTATTCCTTTATTTCAAAGAAAATGGACGGAATGTTTTCAGATCACATAAAACCAAACAATGTCCAATATGATATGTTACATTCAGATCATTCAAAGTATTTGTACAAAAGCTGTACAGATGAAATAACACAAAATAATGTCATCTACTTCAGATCAATTAATTCTCTTGTGTTCTCTAAGAATAAGTCCTTCACATGACAAGGCGATCCTCCTCCAAAACAGCTGGGGGCTGCTCTCCATAGACACCCCCTCCCATTCCTCCTCCAAAACTCCCGGACAACTCGAAGCAGTGCCTCTTACACTCCAGCAGTCTCTCTACATCCTTCCACATCTTCATCTGCCTGAGGCTGGGGCCGTGATTCTCCCTGACCGTCTTCTGCTGCTCCCTCAGGCCCTTACCCAGGTTCTCCTGTTCCTGGATCTTCCTCTGGTACAGCTCTCTGTAAATAATTAAAGGGAAACAGTCATATTACAGCTCCCTGTAAACAACTGACAAAAAACAGTCACATTAAAGCATCTCAAAAACAATACACATAACAGTCATATACAGCCCCATACAACCAATCAAATTACATCCCTCCCCCTGTAAACAGTTATCAATAACCTAGTCAGAAGTGGAGGGGTAGGATTGTTCTCTCCTGCCCAAAGATCAAATATACTAAAACTGAATTAATTTACTCTGCCATTACAACAAATCTGGTGAAAATCTTCTTCTTAAATTTCCAATGTGAGTGATTCCTGTAATCTAGAGTGAAACTACATTCACAGACACGCCAGATTACAGTAATGAAAAAACTACTCTACCTGTAGGTCTTTTTCCGAGCGTAGGGATCAGCCGAGGTGTAGGTCTTCATCTCCTCTGCCACCTTCCTTTGCTGTACCTCCACCATATGCATCATGCAGTGAAGGTAGTGGTAGCGAGATTCCTCCTGAGAACACTCCTCCTGATACGCCCGAACCTCCTGTAAAAGACAAATCACGGACATTTATCAAGAAAATCAATACATGGTAAAACAGGCTTATAACGAAGTGCTAGGGATGAATGATTTTGCTTTATTATAAACGTAATTTGTTATATCTGTAAAGTTTACAATGTATTTCAAAGTCAATGGGAATGAAAATCACTTCACTGTAAGCATCAACTCATTATAAGAGAGTTAGCCATAAGCATATTTTACCGTAAAATCTTGATTTGGGTTATGTGGCTGTGTATAATTAGGGCAAGTAGGAACCAACAAAATTAATGTCATTTAGACGATAAGAGTTCATTCATCAAATTTTGTCAAAAAGTTCGTGAAACTGTGTTTGACTGGGCAAATTGGATCTTATTTATTGCGAGCTGAAGTTATACTGAAATTGGGGTCAAAGCTGAATTTTAATCTAGATTACTTTACATATTTTGACATAATTCATAGGTAAAAAAGTAACACATCAATTCTGAACAAATCAAAACCCAAGTTTAATTGTTTGAATTCTTCTGGGTTAAAATGACACAGAAATATTTCAGAGAATGTCAGAGCAAGATATGATTTGATCCCTTGAGGGAATAATAATGTCCTTTTTCCAAATATACCTAAAACCACTTTCTTTAGATATTTTCAAGTTGAATATCTTTTGTTATTTCATAACAAGCTTCAAATTTGCAAATTGATGATGAAGTTGAATAGAATAAAAATCAAACGCTGAAAACAGAATTTCCCTGCATTAAGGTAATTACCTGTTCCAGTTTAGCCATGTTACTCTCTAGACCAGCAGCAGCAGTGTCATAGGCCTGCTTCTTCTCTGTGTGTTGGTTTGTCAACTCCTGTAAAAGAAATAAAATTTTAATTTTGGCAGCCTTTTAAAGACAGAAATGATCAGTTCAAAGCCTCAGGGGCTCTGCAGCATCAAAACTGGAATTATGCACGTACAAGTGTATAATAGAGCAGATTTTTTTCAATTCTTTTGTTTTCATAAATAAAACAGGTAGCACTTTTTGCCCTTTTAAAATTAAAACAGTTTTTATGCTTGGTGTTCAAAATAATTACAAAACATATTTTTGGGAATCATCTGTTGATTTTAATAATTAATTCAAACTGTTTTATTTCATTCATTCAGCTTTATCTCAAATATTTATACGAGCAATACCTATCTTCCCCCATATAAATGAAGGAAAAATCACGCATTTATTACATCAAAGCAACACTTTTATTTATCATTATAGCAATAAACTGGTTATCAGACATTTATACATGAAGGTGAAAGTGAAACTGTTTTCCCTATGTTAATGTCACTGACTTACATATTCATGAGAAATTTATTCTCTACATGACTCACAAACACAGAAATATCCAATCTGATCAACAAGGAACCCACACTAATCCGCTAGTATGAATATTTTATGGAAAACACAGATGAGAACAGATTAACTTTGACATGTAGTTTTTCTTTATACATGTATATATAGACCTTGATTTATTCCTTTATTGTGAGAATATAACACATCTATGGTTTATTTCTATTTATATACAAAATTTATGCATTCCAACATGAAGCACTGTGTCGTAAGCCCAACTTTTTAAATGCAAAATTTATTCAGTCTTTGACTTTTATTTAATACAGTATTGTTACTTTTAAAATAAATTTACTGTCATTACTATAAAATATGAATTCATGTTTAGATTCAATTTACAATTATCTGTGTGTATCCATATTAAAAAAAAATTTACATTGCAGGGAAAATAGATATTCTCTTCTTTCAATTATTGAAAAACTTGCAAAATTTGTTCACCCAATAAACCAATGTTTATTCACGAGAAATCTAAGCCATGTTATTCTATGAAGTCATAAAAAGAAATACAAGTACTACATGTAAGTAATCCACAATAATAAAAAAAAAAAACATAGGATATGACCTGATTTTACCAATTCATTAATTTCAATCATGTAGTACTGTGGGGACATTTGTAAAGTGTGTTTAATATGCACTCTAAATATTGTTCATGTATAGGAAAAATGGTATCACAAATATACTTTTATGAAACATATTAACACAGTGAAAATAACCCCCCATGCAATGTGCATTTCTCATGGATTTGCAAATTAAACACACCATAGCACTGAATTCTACATCTTAATTGGCAACATGAAAATTAAGAAATGAATTATTAAACATCCACATGATTCCTACCTGAGCTCTTTGTCTCATTGGCCTTAGTTCTTTAATAATTGGAGCCAAGGAATTCTTCTTGTTAGCAATCGTCCTGGTCAGTCGCTGAACCATCTCAGATATATCTTCCAGTGTCTTCCCTTTTCTCTCGTCTAGTTCACTTTTAACAGCGGACACCTTCTCCAATTCTTCCTGGGTCTGGCGGTATCCTGTCACACCTTTCTTATTCTCAACAGCTTCCTGTAAATAGGAATATTTACTTAAAAAACGTCAAACACAAGTGTAACAAATATGGGGAATTTATACCTCTGCTGTTTCATGATACATTTCCTTATTTGAAAAGAAAAAGTATTAAATTACACGTCAACACTTGACATTTTTTTTTATAGCATAGCAAAAATCCATAACAGACTCACCAGACTCCTGGTTATAAATTCATCTCTCTGACGTAAAATCTGCTCAGTGCGAGACAGAACTCCAAACTCGGCCCTGATCTCAGCTATCTCCTGTCTCTTCTTCTTGTAGATAGTGCTCTTACTTCTCAGTTTGTTTACATATCTTTTAAACTAAATTTAAAAAAAGAAACGTTTATTTCATTCAAAGTCAAAACAATCAGGAAAATCATATACATATGTCTATTACACATAATCTGACAGAATTTACAAGTGTCCTTGAACTGCTAATGCATCTTTACACAGTTGCATCCCAAATACCCTTCATTTTTGGTTTGAAAGGGGAGTTTTAGTTTAAGATAACCTGTCCACTGTTGTTAACAGAAATTGCAAATGACTGACATGGTAAAAATTAAAACTGAATGATTTGAAATTTGACATAATATAAGAGACATGTTATAATACATTGTCTTGTTCTATATCATGCGGGTACAATTTACAAGAGTCAACGTAATCTACTTGACTGTGTAATACTTACATCCTCTCCCTTCAGCACTTCCCCGCCCCCAGCTTCCTTTGCGGCCTCTCGCTTCTGCTCCAACTCCATGGACATTTTGTGATACGAATCACGCACATCTCTGAAATCCCTCAAAGCCCCTTCTTTCTTACTAGCTATAATTGCAGCCTATGAGATAATAAGCAGTCATTATTTCACTCACAGATAGGCATGTTCTATAAGCATGCTATTAATCTACTAAGAAAAAAGTGGCTATATATGTATGTAAGTGGACAAAGCATATAAATTATATAATATAAAAAAAATTGTAAATTTCTTCAAAAAGAAAAAGATTTTCTTACATGAACTTGAATTGTAAGGGGGAAAAAAAAAATTGTGACATTTCACTGATATAAAAAGAGAAAATGTTGCTTTTTATAATCTCCAAATACACTGTACATGTAACATTGTAGAGGAAAGATGCTAATGAGTTGCTTGGTGACAAATCTGACAAAGATCACACAGACCTTCTTCTGCATGTAGAAATTTGACAGAGACATAATGATTTATTGCCCTATGTAGAGATCTAATCAAGAATTCACTGACCTGCTGCTTGAATAGTGCCGATTTGTTGTCAGTTGGGTCCTCAGTCCTTAGCTTCTTCTCAACAAGTTGTTTTATCTCCTCCGTCAAGTCTGCTATCTATAATAAATTACAAAAAATTTACTAAACTAATCAGAGGTCGGAAGAAAATTGATATAATAATTCTTTATCAAATTCCAACTCATTAACGGATCCTTGAAAACAACAGCAGGATAATCAGTCCCGAAATAACCAGCACATATGTACATTGTACTAAATGTAAGAGTTATCTGCCCTTCAAAAGTAGAGACACTTGGAATCTTGAGTGGGTAATGATGGAAGATTTTGCAAGGATTCAACAAAGTTTCCTATTTACTCCTATTTTGAAGGATATTTTACGCTTTGTTATAAGTAAGGACTAAGGGAAGTAATTCTTTCTAAACTTAGACATTGCAGACATTTATAGTACATAGTGTCATAAAGTAAGAAAAAGTAAGGTCATGTACATGTAAATTGCTTGTCTATGGATTGACATGTACCTGTGAAAAAAAAATTTCTCAAATCTTCCAGTTATTTATCAGTTAGTTGTGGGCATAAGTGGGCTATATATGAAAGGGTTTATTCTAAACTTGCAGATTTTCTCTTTACTTCTACAGAACTACATGAAACAAACAAAATTAAGATTGTACCTGGTCATGCAGTTTGTCTAAATCAGACTGTCCCATGGCAGGTTCAGCTACCACTTTCTGAAGATTAAGAAGAATTTTCTTCTGTTGTGCTATCTCTTTGGGCATTTTTTCTGTCACTATGTATTTGTTGGTGTGTGTTTCCTCTTCCAGTCTCTGCAGCATCACTACAATGAAGATGAGTAATAAGTGTACAAATTATGAAAGACAAACTTTTGATTTGTAAATGCTGAAAATATTTAGAATATACTGAATATCAATCTTTCAAATCAATTCAAAATTTTTGGTTATCAATGAGAAATGTAACCAAAATTGGAAGGAATTAGAAGTTGGTTGTATACAATAACTTAAGCAAACATAGATACTCTCTACCTTTTAACTTTTTTTTAAAAAAATTGCAATTGTCAGTTCAGAATAATTTCTCTGGCCATCTATTCACATTTCCCTGATGTAAGATAAAACTAACCTGCTGGGTTGGCTCCTACAGCTGCTTGTCTGGTGTCGTGTAACTGTGACTGCAATCTCCTGATTTTCTGATCTTCATGTTGAATCTGACAAAAACAAGGAACATCAATTAGTCAATTACCATACACACTGCCTTTACAAACATATAGTTTCTTTTTACCGTAGATTTTGTTCAACAGCATGACTAGCTGTCATGTAACTAACAATTTTTGATATTTTAGTCTATTGAAATGAGGAAAAATATGAAGATGTTACTTTCTATGCATGACACATCACAACATATAATTTGATGTAATATCCATTACTGTAATCCATTGCTTTCATCAATGAATGTTATACAAATCAATGTAAATGACCCTTGGTTAAACTGACCAGTGTAGACTGTTCCTGTCTTTGTTCAGCTAACTTCTTCTCTTTGTCTCGTTCAAGTCTCAAATTCCTCGCCACGTTCATCATAGTGGTGGAATTAGGATGAGACTCCACCTATTAAAACAGAAAATTTGCTTTAGACCATTCTATTCAGTTGGCTTATCTCAGTGCCATATATTTACCATTAACAGTTCACAGTGTAATAGAGATGTAGATTATTTCCCTTTGGTAACCCAATCATGAACTGAACTTCAAATGCACATGCAATGTAATCATTCACTATGCATATAAATTTAATTACATATAAGTGCATATACATTACCTTTCTTTTCAGTCTTTCTACACGCTTTATCAGCTGTTCTTTCTCGTCCTCCATGTTGGTAATGTCCTTTTTGATTTCTCCTGTGTTATATCCAGAGTTCTTCAGACCCTCTGCCTCTTTGTGCAGTTCTTTGAATTGTTCCATAGCCTCCTCATACTTCAAAATAATTAATAATAACTTAAAATGTACTAACTTATACTTAATAACATAAAAAATAAACTTTTCATATTTCATCATTGTGCACAGTGAAAAAAATATAATTAAAAACAATGACTGCTAAGAGAAATTATTTGGTTTTTTTTTTCAGAAGAATAAATGGCTGACACAAACCTGTGCAAAGAGATCAGGAATGGGATCCTCTGCCATGATTTCTGGGGGAACATCGACCTTCACCAAAAACCTAGCCAGGTAAGCTCTTTTCTTGAGATCTGGTATTCGCTTTAACAACCATTCGAGGATGGGATAAATAACTAACTTGTCTCCCTGTACTAAGCCACTTCGGAATGATTGTCTGCAAATTTTGTGCAGAAGTGTTGAAAGAAGAAATGCCTATCAAATTTAACCCCCCCCCCCCAACTGTCACTCAATTTCTTTTTTCACGTCAAAATTACAAATACTTATGTTATCTCAGATACTTACAATTAAAATATCTAAAAGTATAATTTTTATTACATCTAATGATACATTCATTAGTAATTATAAGTAATTAACAGTTTCTCATTTCATTTTATGCTATACATATATGATGTCACTTGTAACTGTTTCCTTTGCCTCACCAAATACTAGGTTGAGAACAGTATACTTACACATCACTGTAAAGAAAGGAAAAGACATTGTATTAAGGAACATTCCATATATATGCATTATAAAAAAAAAAAATATCTATTACATGAATAAACAAACATAAATGGATGTTTTATGTATTGTTTATATAGGAAGATACATTATAATACTCTACCCAGGGATTATACAAAATTTTGAATTACAGTATGTATCACTTCTTTTGTGTTTAATCGATGAGAAAAACCTGTTCTAAAACTGATTTTATTTTTGAATATCACTATTAACAAAGAAAATGACTACAATCTTACTCTGTTGGGGGTTTGTACTTAAGGATCCTCAAGGTGTTAAACATTCTAACTGCAGTCTGATCGGCTGATTCTTCACGGATATCAACTTTTTGCTGTAAGTTAAAACATGCTTAATTATTGTTTTTAAATTCATTATCATTCTTGTGTATATATACACACGAAAATTACAAAAAAATTATTCTGGTTGAAGTCATGAAGCATAAAAAGGTGACTTAAAGTTAAAATGTATATTTCTTTATGATGATTTATTGTAAAATTAACCTTTGGATCAATAACACCCAAAACATCGGTCAAAACTTGGAGAAGTTGTAAAGGCTCTAAGGAATCAAATGATATCAAGTTATAGGTCTTGCTGAATGGCTCCTTGGCCAATTCCTGGACAATGAACTTCAATTGTTCACTCATCTTTATTTCACTGCTAAATATTCTGAAATTAAAAAAAAAATCCACTGCTTTTCACATAAACTAGATTACTACATCAGGGCTCAACATTAACGCTTGTCCAGTACCGGTGAAAAAAAATTACGGACAAGTAAATATTGCTGGGCAATTGTCCGATTGGACAAGTGCATTCTAATGTAAAGGAGTCTCTAAATAATCAAAAGAACGACTGTTGTGTTGAAAGTTAATCGGTAGTTTCAAGATTGAATCTGTACATAAAAACCGAACTTCGATCCTGATAGAGATCACTATTAATTGAGTTCACATTCAATCGGGATCGAAGTCCACTAATTGCATACTACTGAAAAGGCATGGAACTTACTAACTTACGAAGTTTGGATTCCGTTTGATTATGACAGGTTCACATGTGAACATTTATGTTGTTGTCAGTACAGAAAGCCTCGATAAAATTTTGTTTTATGTGTTTGTTGTTTATCAATAACATCATGAATCAATCAAGCACATGTCATGTGTAATGGACTTCAAGTTTACAATATTATATCGTTATTGAAAAAATTTCTGACAAGTGAAGTTGAAGTTCGGACAAGTAAATGTCTTGGTCACTTGTCCAAATGGACAAGTAGGAAAAAAAAGTTAATGTAGAGCCCTGTACATGTACTGATCAGCATACTTATTACACTTGTCTAAATAATATAATTTAACAGAGCTCCACTTGTGGTAAGGTTAAACCTAACTTTCAATCTAAAAAAAAAAAACAAGAGAAAGGGGGTCACTCAATCATTGGGTCCGAGGAAGAAGGGGTATTTCCACACTTTACAGTTTACCATTTTAAAATGCTTATCTTCAAAATTTTATTTCCTATAACTAAAAAGTATCTGGCATGTTTGGGAATGCAATATGTATAGTTTTTAACTTATTAATATATCCCAGGATACATGATATATCAAGCTGCACTGTGACGATATTTTTTTTTTCAATATCTCAAAGTTCAATATGTATTTATCAATACTTTATTACCGTTCAACGAATTGAATAAAAATCTTGATGTGTGAAGAAAGGGGAAGGGGGGAGGTGTTACGAGTACCATCAAATCATCAGTAAGACGCCACACGTTACTATGGACAATAAAAATCCTAAATATGAATGAATACCATAAAATTCACGTGAAAATGTATTTGTCATTTTGGAATTAACAGCGTATTTTGACTTCCACAAGAATGTATAATTACTTACCATAGAAATTGTAAGATTCTCGACAATTTTCCCTGTTTTTCTGTCTTCTGAAAATATGCAGATCCCCGGATGAACTAGAATTGTAGAAATATCGATCCCGATTAAAACAGTAATTTCAAATCGGGCGCGGTATTCCAATCTGTAGAAGAACGTGTACTTCCTGCTGCAAGAAGATGTCTTCAAAAAAGTCTGGAAAGGTATTTTATGTGTACATTCTTTATAGATTTATAAGTAGCGTGTCATTTATTGATTTTATATGGTATTCATTTCAGTTTCACGGATTTGATTAAGAAAGCATTGGTCAGTACTTCAGATTCCTGTGAGGACAATGTTTAAAAAGACAATATGGAAGTTATCCATGCTATAGCTATGGAACATGATTTTTAAAAGCACTTCTTAATTTAAAAAGCAACATTTAATTTTTAAGAGGCTTCAAAACCATTTCCAAAACAGTTTTATTTTTTGAAATTGGTTGAAAAATGAAACAGTTATGATAATTTTTGTGTTTTCATTTTTTAAATCTTGAAACAAAAAGTGTTGCCATTTTTTAAAAAATAAAATAGACAAAGTTTACTGAGTTGTAAGTCTTTATTTAATGCAAAGTACTTTATGACAATTATATAAACAAAAAAATATGCATTAAGATTTTTTTCCCAGTGTATATCATCGTTTGAAAAATAAATATGATAGGGTCAGCAGAATTTTTAAGTCTGAACTGTGGTAAACACTTGATAAATAAAATGGAAAAAAAAACACTATGAGAAATATCAATACATGTATTTAAAAACTTGATATTTCTCCAGCTAGAGTTCTTTGATCAGAATTGCTAAAAAAATTTTAAAAAAAATTATACCACCACCACCCCCCCCCCCCCTCCCCCCCTGGCAAAAAGAACGAACTACAATATATACAATAAAAATGTATGAAAAAATTCTTACTAGGGTGAAAAAAGATTTTTTTCAAGGATGATGATAACTTTGATGATGAAAAAGAATAGGCTTAAAGTTATGAAACTTAATATTATGATCAGAAATTGTGTAATCAAATCAGAAAGCCTCAGCAAGTAAAATATAAGTTAATGAATAACAAGTGTAACTTCCACATTTTTCACATGCACATCAAACTCGCACACATTTTATTCTAGTATTAGAAAGTAACAAGAAAAGCTAAACTGGCTATACATCATAATTTTCAAAGAATATTGCATGAGGCAGAAAATGAGGATATGTTTACTGTCACCCATAAATTTATATTTTGGATTATTCATCATGTTCAAAAATTAAGTCTTGATACAATAATTATTCTTTCTCAATTCACTCGTACATTACCGTTACCGTAGTTACTCTCAGTAACATGTGATCATGATGTACAAAGTTCTCCTTGTTTGTCTTGTCATTTTCTAAATTTAATTTGAGGACAGGTATTGTTAAAAGTTTTTTTTAATGAAAACAAATTGATCTAGTAATCAGCTGATTGGCGAGTTGGCTCGGGGTGGGATGGGGGGTGGGGGTGCAATGATGTAAATTATCATTTCTGTGTGTTAATTTATGTATTTAGAATAAACTTTCTCTAATTTTTGAAACAATAATTTTCACTTTGGAAAACCAGACACAGACAAGTATATGTCCCGCTGAATATGACACTCATATTGGTCTTGTTGTCGTACATCATTGCACTTTCACCTTACAAATTCAAAACAAACTACGAAATCAAAACAAACTAAATTATTTAAAGCAAGATATTCACATGATTTTATGACCTCTGGCCCTTCGTAATTTACTAAAATCCTACACACCCGTCACACGTTTAATGCAAAGCAAAGGGCAAATAACCCTGTCAGGCAAAAATAGTCCATGTGATTGAACGTGATTTGGTGTTAAGTACAAGGATTTAAAATTATTATTAGATTGAATTCTTATAGAAAACACGTTTTTATTTTATAAAAATCAGGTTTTTAAGGTGTATATTCTGAAATTCATTTTTTTCTCTTGAAACGAATATTTCATTATTATTTTTTTACCGCTAAAATGATGCAATTTATTTATTTTTATCCATATACACTTGCAGTAATACCTCACGAAGGTTTCCGAAAAACTTTTGTGATTGCATATATCGTCTTCTTATTGTATCAGTCCGTAACACACGCCCACCCGATCATTTATTTTTTTGGCAACAATAGTTTAGCAAATATTAGAGTTATCGCCCGTTGCTTTTCCGTCGCTACATGCTATTCCATATTAGATTTTATAACAGGATTGAAAAAAAGGACTAAATTTTGCATTCACAATGGAGAAATAGTCTTATTATCCTGTTTTGAAATCAAAACTTTCCTGTCAACATGATGAATGCTGCTATTATGTATTATTCTGGGAACATGCACTGTACTAGTAGTCTAGTAACTAGTTAGAATAGTCTTTGTCTCTGGACAAGCCTTCATTACACTTAGATTATGTCCCAAATAGTTGCAATGTACCAAATTTGAGCGGGTCTGCTCAGGCAGGATTTTGAAGAATTCGAAAGGAATTGCACTGAAAATAAACACCAAATTAAACATAACAAACCTTTTTGAGCTTGTATATACTTTCTACCTTAAAAAATAATCCATATAAGCAAAAAAATCAACATATTTCCTCAACATTTTACAGGCCATTTTGACATTCTGAACACTGTATTGTTCATAGATTAGAATTATCTGCCCCTGTTTATTTTGCTACATTGCTAATACACAGAACAAAATCTATCAAACTGGATTCATAGGACAGTATCATTTTAACTATAGAACATTCTCTCTAACACCGGTACATAAAGATGGAGTCTAATGGTTGTCAGTGTACAATCTTGAAGTGCATGAAGTCATTACAGGCTCTCCAATAGATGCTATAGCTGCGTCAATTTGATATACTGATTATGCTTTATTTTTATGATTTTTTAAATGTAAATTTACAATGGTAGTGTGGAATATACTAGGAAGATTGTATTTTCTTTTAAGAATGGAGAGGAGATAGATGAAAAAGACCCAAAGGTTTGGCAAAGTTAATTTCATGCATGCATTGTTTATGGTGACAGAAACATATATTATAAACACACATAAACACATAGCCACAAATCCTTTTGTTTGTGTCTACTTCCAATGGTCTTTTGGTTTGATATAGTATAAAATGAAAAGTTAAATGTATGATATTGAATAGTTAAATCTTCCAAAATGATTGCAAGGATTATGGATTGGTGCTTGTTTTCAAGGATAACTACTCTGTGCTGCTCTAAAATGTGTCAATATTTTTTGACATTACAGTAGTGCTAATCTAGACCCTAAAAAGGAGCCTGGTAATCTAAGAATTAGGACACTTTGTGTCTGTTGCAACAAGTTTTCATAAGGGTACTATTAAACAAGCATTTAACTTCATGTACTTTATCATATTATTTGTGCATGTATTTAAGAAGTGAATTCATAAATTTATGGATTAAGTCAATTTATTTTTTAATACAGTAATGTAAATGCATTACGGTATATATAGCATGTACATTATTTAAAAGAAATCAATTTCACAACAAGTTAGCATATTTTTGATTTAGCACTATCTTAACATGCTAGATATAAATACATGTACCGGTATATACATTTAGTGACATACTTGATTTAGCAGAAGCTGCCTTTCACGAAAGGCACTAAATAGAATACACTGCCAAATGTAATACATTACAGTAATAATTACACATTGACTTGTCAGTTGAAATAAAATGAATGAAATTAAACAACATAACTTGTCAAAATATACTACACATGTAAGGCAACAACAAAAGTAATATGGTAGACATATTTCCTGTTGTGCATGACAAGAATCTTTGTATAGTGCAAATTCAAGGTTGTGCATTAAATCTTTCACCTCTGGATTCATATTTAGCATTTGACCGAACAATTGATGTAACCGTTTTCAAAGAATGTTTAAAGTTTCTCAAGAGCAAGAAGGCTTCAGTTTGTAAACTTGATACCAGTGCAATCCTCAGAAATTAAGATTTATTATATCTAGAAAATTAAAAATGGTTGGACTTTTTTTAAATGGCAAGCTGGTTTCATTTATCTACATTTATTTTTCAGAAAGAAAAGTGTGTCATGATTAAATATTTTCTGATCCATAAGCCATTTGATATGTACAGAGGGAAAAAAGTATCATACTTGTGCATGTATGGATAATTTTCAATGTGTTCCGGGTATTTGTGCTAATAGCCTACTCCAAGTGTTCTAGTAGCTGATATTTTGCTTTGGCATGTTTGCCATGTGCAATAAAAAGTGCTTGGTACTGCATACATTTACATGTAGTATTATGGATGTTAAAGTAACTGTATGTACTGCATAAGTGCCCATCAATATTGGGGTTTTTAACCCACAAAACATAATTTTTAACATCTTTTATGCATGCTACATTAAAGTTGGGAATGGGAATTGGAAAATTGTATTGGTGGTTAGTTAGTGTTGCCAGTAGAATTTGGAGAAAAAAAGATGACCGCTATTGGTTTACGTGGTATCTGAAAACCTGATACACTGCATCTTGAAGACTTCTGCAGATTGATTGAATAATTAACCTGATAGAAATATTATTTTGTTCTTTTCACTACAGTGGAACATTGATGAGAAACCAGTGAAGATTGATAAGTGGGACACAGCAGCTGTGAAGAATGCATTAGATGATGCTGCCAAGAAGGTGACCACAATTTAATTAAATATTAAAATCTTCATTCGAGTGTTTAAATCTATTTTCTTGGCTGCTGCCATCCCTGTCAGTATTTTGGGTGGGGGTCATATAAGACAGGTCTAGTGTAACAATGATTATGTTCAGTGATTTTGAAGTGTGTACCCAAAGTGCAATAATACTTTCATGAGTAAAAACAAGTTTACATGTTTTACATGTTTCTTTTCAACTTCAAGTAAGTGGAACTCTATGAAGGAAATAGAACAGCATTTTTTCATCATTAAAACTGTTAGAAACTTTAATATTATTTGTCTGGATTTAACAAATTATGAATGTAACAAAACAGTTTATCTTTTGAATTTTTGCATGTTTATTTTTACTTTAAGTATGTATGTACATGTATACTGTATTTATACCTGAAAGTCTCTTTACAGTCTGTTAAATGATGTATGTTATTTGTATACAGGTGTTGAAGGAGAAGTTTGGTTATGTAGAGTCTCACAAACTGATGGATCTTCGCCTACTGATCTGTACGGTGGCCGTGGGATTCTCACTGTTTGCCCTCATCTGGGACTACCTCAGGCCATTTCCTGAATCTCGACCTGTTCTCATCATGTGTGTCCTATCGTATCCTTTCTGCTACCACAGTGGAGACAAAATCTTATTCTGATAAATGATCTTGAGTCCAATAAAATAAAATACAGTTGAACTTCAGTATCCCGAATACCATGGATATGTCCAAGTGGTTTTGAAGTCCCAATCTCTTATTCTTTCAGTATTTTACCCTGGATATCTCGAATCCTAGGATATTTAAAATTTTGTTCTTGGTCCTATTGACTTGGAGATAATGAGGTTCAACTGTAATTTTAAGAAATTATTAGTTCCCAGTTTTTGCAGATGTGGTATATACTGTTTCACAATAACTAGTGTACTGCTTTTTTGCAGGGGAAATTGATATGAGTTTGCAACAGCAATTGTTAAATGAATGTCATTTAATTATCTGCTAACTAAAAGTTTGCCAAACTATCATATTAATTTGCTCAGCAAAAGAACAGCTTGCACTGCAGTTATTTTGAAAGGGTTTATTAATGCTGCAAATTTGAATTCTTTTACAGTTCATGTGTTTAATTTATCAAATTTTTTTTAATATGTGTACAAGTTGGGGCATAATTGTGTCAATTTGACACACATCTTGTTCCTCTTTTATTTTTTTGTGTTTGACTCCTTAAGCAGTGTATAGATACTTTGTGTTGATGGGAATACTGACTCTGTACACTACCTATGTGGAGAAGGGAATATTTCTAGTGGCCCTCCAGAAGGACGAGGCGGGGGTGGATCCGGACAATAGATGGGAGTTGTCCTCAATGTTAAAAAAGTAAGTTATTTAAACCAATCAATTTACTGCAAAAGTGCCAGTGTCTAGATGATACAATGAAGCGCATTGAAGTGGTAAAATTTGTGGTTTGAGTCTGATAAATGTAAGAATGTCAGTTGTTACATAATGACTCACCATTTTGTCAACATACTGATTCATTGAATCTAAGATATGAACAAGTTACCCACAAAATTATGTCCCAAAGAACCAGGAAAAGTTTGCTTGCCCATGAACATTGACACCCCCCCCCCCCCACACACACACACAAATTAAAATGATTCCATGGTATGCTTTTCTTCTAGATACGATGACATGTACCACCTAACCGTGACATTTACAGACGGCATCACAGGAATCCAGAGAACAAAGGAATTTTCCAAGTCAGTCTGCAACTACTTCGATGAAAATGGAGTACTGTGTTTCGATCTCTTTGAACCAGAAATTAGACTGCTTCATAATCAGATTTCAGCAGAAGGAAAGAAGGACTAACTTTCAATGAGGAATCTTTTTAGTGACTTTTCATCTGAACATTTCAATGCCTACAGGCTTTAACATAAATCATAATATATTTTGATTTGAACATTATTTTTACATTGTTTTGCAAAAACATCAGATATCTGCATACAAGGAGTGGTGCTGAACATTGACTTGGTAGAAGGGAGACTTCATTGTGACCTGTCATAGATTTGAATGTTGTAATATGTATGTCCGAGTGTTTTATGTGAATGTTCATTAAATGTGGTACATACTAGTCACTGATGACCTTTTTTATTTTTAGGAAGATGAGATTTAGAACTGTAAATAAAATTCATACATGTACTACCTATCAACACCTTGTAAAAAAAAATTTAGTATAGGTATGCTCTAACATTACCTTTTCCTATTTAAGTGCAAATTAAGTACTTTGTGACCTTAATACTAGTACCCAAACAATGTGCATTAATGAGAAATTGGAAAGATTGGAGAGACTGTTACCATCTGTATCATATTATTACGAATGAATATGAGAAAATGATGTTCCTTTCTGTTAGTATGGGATCCTCTTTCTAACTTTGTGTTTATCAAGAAAAAGAAGGATATAAAACAAAATAAACAATACATGCATGCAAAACTAACAAAAAAGAAAAGAGAAAAAATATTCCAGTCTTTTGTTAATTTTCTTTTCAAGAAAAATCTATTTTTAGAATGAGCTTTATCTGAAATTTAAAAGCATTCAAAATTTGAGAATTTTAAATTTAGAAGGACAAGCTTGCACCAATATGCAACATCAACATTTTTATGAAAATTTGTACTTGAGTTGTCTTTCTTTGCAGGCCCGTAGCAACGTTTTCAAAAGCAAAAACAAAAACTGACAAGCAAAAAAAAAAAAAACCTAATCCGAACAAAAAGTGAAGGGGCCAACTTACTCAAGTTGAAAATCGTAGAAAGTCCACAGCTTAATATTTTAGAGCATCATTTAAAACCAGAATAAGTCCAAAAATATAATATACCAATCCATGCATCCATTTTTTTGTCTTGTGGCACATGTTCTTAATGTTCGATATTTTCACATTTTTTCTTGTTTTATTCATTAAAATAAGCAAAACTTTTAAGGGGCCTTCTGACCACGTACTAGTATTTGCATATTTTGATTCTTTGTAGTTTTGATAGTTTTCGTAAAAGATTTGAAGAAAAGTTTAATGCTAGATCAGAAATCTTCAGAGTCTTAAAACTTGTCATTCAAGTCCACGAAAAAGATATCCCAAGACATCTGGTTTCCTCCCATTGTTAGCAAATTTTTCTTTTTCAATTTTGTTTCAAATTAAAGTAATGTCAAATCTAGTTCGTTATCTCAGCAGAATTCATCCTTAAAGTGCATTTTTCCTACTGTTTGATATTCAATGACAACTTCTCGAAACATTCGAGAGAGAGAGAGTAAGACAAACGTATACATGTTTAAACATTAACTCCTACTTGCAATGTAGTACTCCTATAATAATTTAAGACTATTTTGTGAATATGCATTCACACATCTTTTTTGATGGTTATCTTTGATACACATTTGTGACATATAGAGACACCACAGAGTCTGACACATCAGCTTCATTTTTGGATATTTTGCTAGAAAGAGACATTAATGGCTAACTAACAACAAAACTTTATGATAAACGTGATGACTTCAATTTTTCTATCGTCAACTTCCCTTATTTATGTAACAATCTACCATTATCACCTGCATATGGAGTTCATGTCTTCCAGTTGATTCGATACGCAAGAGCATTTTAGGTACGAAGAATTTCTAAAATTAGGCAAGCTATTGACAAATAAGTTGATGATACAGGGATATCATCAGTCTCGTTTAAGGTCAACGTTTTGCAAGTTTTATGGTCGATACAATGACCTTGTTAGCAAATACAACTTATCGTTAAGTCGAATGTTGAATGACGTTTTTCATACAAATTGTTAGACCCCTATTTTCACACTGAATTGTCTACATGGATTTTTCGGTTTGTACGATCATGACAAGGAGCACACGGCGGGTGTGACCGGTCGACAGGGGTGCTTACTCCTCCAGGGCACTTAATCCCACTTCTGATGTTTTTCAGGTCATGTTTGCTCTGCTCCTAATTTGTATTGTTCCAATGGACTCTTGAGCTTGATTACTTTTGATATCTTCATATTTCATACATCTCTCTGAATACGTACAAAAATATGATTTTTTTTAATCTACTACCCCCTATACAGATGATCTTTTTTCATCACTGGTATACATTTATGGGCACACATTTTCAAGCACATTTCTTTTCTCATCCTTGAGAAACTTTTCTTACATATTTATTTAAAATGATAATTATATAGTTCGATTTAAAAAAAAAAACTATCAAGCTTAATGAAACGTGTCTTCAACAGACAGAAATGTTCGAGGATTTTCTTCATAGTGTACTTAAAAGAACTTCCGAAAAAAATGCGAAAGGAAAGGTTTTAAATTATCCACCTGTTTCCAATTAAAAAATGCTAGAAATTTGGGAGTTCATTTGTACTAAAATCAATTACAGAGACTTTATTTTCCTAATAATCTTTCCAAATGACATAAAATTTACGTTTAGGTCCCACTCAACCGATACTGATGTAAAACAGATTACAAAGTTGATCCAATAACTTCCTATAATCGCGATAATGTAATTCATTATTCTGGCAAAGCGCACCCCTCGTTATTTGTTTACGTTGGGGGTGCATTCGTTCATCGTAAATAAAATTGTAAGCGAACATCTTTAAGTATTTCAGTAGCTGAGCTTACAGAGGAATGGCCACGGTTCGTTTTATTTCATTTGTTTTATTGGAGAGTATTTTCCTTGCCCAGTAAGTATATATCTAGATTTCTGGCATATTTTATTCATGATAATTATCTATTTGGTACTTTTTACAAGTTGTTTAAAATTTGTATATGTATTCAATCTCGATTGAAAAATCATACAAGGATGAAATACATACATAAATATATACAGAAATTAAGGTAGTGTCCTGTCAAATTTTTCTTTTCTTTATTTACTGCATGAGAGGGTGTAAATGATTTTTTTTAAATAAAACGTAAACTTGTGTTATAAATATACTTAATGAATTAATACATTTGTATATATTTAGTAAAAGTTTTTGCATATACAGTGTACAAAGTGAAACGAAGTAGATTTCGAGAAACGTACAATATAAAATTACGCCAAACTCTCAACGCCTAAATTCTACTTCTCAGCATCTCAGTTTCAATATTTTTATCTTAATAGACTATTTTAAGGTTTTAAAGGTCAGATAAATCCGAGCAAGGATATTATTACAATTTTAGAGAGTCTCCAAATTACATAATTTGTCTAAATAAGATGACGTTTAATATTTCACCAGATAAATACATGTCGCTATTTAACAACGAATTACACATGCTACTGTATGAATTGTCCCTAGTCCTGAAAGACGTACTCTAGCTGGGACTGTTTTGTACGAATACTTCGTACTAGGGATGAATGCCTGGATCCATCCATAAATCGATCTTTAGAAAGATTTCCAAAGTACGCGGATTACCTTAATGTTTTGATCCAACTTCTCAGACGGCGCAGAGAGAATCGTAATTAAGTTCAGTTAAAGAGTTTCTTCGGTGGAAAAATTAACCTGATGTGTTGCAGACCTACATAGAATGCAAGTTATCGCAGCAGGAATCAGGTGTTTTTGTCGGTTTTACGTTAGGATACATGTGTGAATTATTCCAATAATCCGTGACCCAATGCTTTAAAATCGTTTCTTTCGGTTGCTTTTGGCAAGTCCACAAATTGGAGAAATTCAAAGCAGGTTCTTTGTTTTAATTTTCAGTTCTTGTGCGATAATTTAGAAAATATTTATGAAACAAAAACCTGTTTTAACTAACCTTATGACTTGATAATGAACAATGTATTATACGCATATGTTTATTCGTAGAAAGGACGGGATAATGGAAATTCAGTAATTGAAAACAATTGCATTCCTTCCAAACCACGTTCTAAAGGTGACCGGTACATAACAAAAGAAATAGAATGTAAACCAATCTGGTAGGAAGAGGGTGTAGGCACGAAAATAAATTTCTTTGTGTGTATACAAAAAAATATTCTGTGATCAAAATAGTATAGGGGAAAAGTGACAATATGTATATTTACTGCAGCACTTTCTAATGCAAAAACAAGAATTTTTTTTTAATGTTAATTTTAAAATTTGGTTTGATTGAAAAATCAGAATGAAGAAAAAACAATAAAATTATAACTAAAGAAAATCTTTGATTCATTAAGCAAAGATTATCTTCCCAGTTCACTGTTTTTGCTAATAATTCAAAATTAAATCGTAGTTATTGCCGAATAAAATGTAGTTTTTAAACACATATGTGTAACGGATTTAATACAAAATTACATTCAAGATTAGATTCTAATATAGCTTGGGGTAATTTTTTTCGTCAACTCTGAAATTTAATGGAAATCAATTTTCAATATTATTTCATAAATTATGTTACCCGTCCCAACCTGTACCTCCACCCCTTCCCCAAAATAGTTTATTAAAAGTCGTCAAACAGCAACCACTCTGGCTTCAGAGATCCAGATTATTTATAATTTTGAAGCAAGCAGAGGAAAAAACAAAACTTTTCTAAATTTTACAGAAAAATAAAAACTGCCATAGATAGGTAAAAGTTGAGTGTTTTTTTTTTCAAACAGTTTGCGGGCGCAGACACTTAATATCCTGGCGTATGAATACAGCAGGAAATTTTGGGAGATCCCAGATCTCGGACTTGAGATGGGACAATGTGCTCATTACGTGAAGGAAGTAATACCGGGTTTTCCATTAGTCAACAGATGGTAAGTTATTATTTCATATATGGTAGACAAGCTTATGGAAACCAGTGACTTTAAAAAAAACAAAAACAACCCCCCCCCCTTAATTGGACACTCCGGTGCTCTTTTTCACAGGTATATGTGGACAGGACCCCCCACCCACCCCCCCACCCCACCCAGTATAATGAAATATTTATTATGTATTGAGTTTTATCCCGATTTTTCGTATGGTTTACATGATAAATAAATGTATTAAATATAATTTATAAAAAAAAAAATTCAAAAGGCCCGGGGTGTCATATATCGGGGGGGGGGGGGGGGGGGGGGTTCCGGTCCACCTGTCATGAGCTCTATTTCTATCCGTTTTGTTCAACGTCAGTCGTAATCTTTTAACATTATTTCCCTCTTTTATTTTAATAGGTCCTTGTCCTCTGGGACCAAAGGATTGTAGTCATGATTTATATATAATGAGCAATAAGCTAATTTTCAACCAAAATATTTTGAAACTCATGAACTCTAGGTGCAATCCTCAGAGATGGGCTGTGCCAAACATTTGAAAAAAAAGGCATAAACTCTTTGATATTCTTTTTCTTTACTCCTTGGCTCCGTTTGCATGATTAAAATGTTTAAGTAGCCTCCAACCAAATAATATGATAACCTCTAAATCCTGGTACAGAATTTTTGGGCCTGGCTAATTTAATATATACTTAGAAAAGTAAACCTTTGAAAAAAAATTTCTTTACTCTTGGACGTCTAGAAAGTTAAGAAAGCGTAATTATAGTGAGAAGTATACATGTATGTACTCATGACCGACCTTTGAAATATTTTTAAAATCTAAGTATTTTTCCTTGACAAAACGTGTGCAAGATTATAGTAGCATTATGCACTTTCATATAAATTGTGAAATTTTGCCATTTGACCAGGCTTCAGGGTGGGGCTAATGTGATCACATATTAAAAGTAATCAAGGTTTATTTAGAAATTCTACAATCAGTTGGCTAGCAAATTGCATGATTAATACTTCTCAATAAACCTTTTACTTAGTTATAAAATTTATGACCCTGAGCGTATCATTTGTAAATATAAATGAAGGGAACTTTCCACACACTTGTTTCGTATACGGGGCACCCCTACTTATTTTTACCACAAATAAGTAGGGGTGCCCCGTATACGAAACAAGTGCCTGTGGAACTCCCCCCCCCCCTCTCAGGCATTCGACCTCCCCAAACTTTGGTAAAATCCTATCCTGATTACCAAGATTAGTTTGAAACAAACGTCTGAATGCTCTGTTTCCTAGGTTGTATATATTTTACAGCATGTTACCACCCGTCTCGGGACAGTCAAAGCTACACCATTTTAAGTTTCAAAATGATACACAGAATATTCAAGTACAATCAGCTAACGATATATTTGCCTACATTGGACTATGTGATGCTACAGCCATAACCACACTGGGGCTACTGCACAGAGGTGATTGTATAGCGGTAAGTGCAGACTCCTGATTCTACCGGATTTAGCATTTTTGCCATTTTGCAACATTTTAAATATTTTGGCAAGGAAAAATGAAATTTACATGAAAATGAACATGAATCTGAATGCACAAAGCGTCTAATAGATGTTCGCAATAATACGATGTCGCAGTATATACAAGTATTGTAAAATTCTCCCATGGCATGATGGAACATAGTGCCATGGTATAGAGTATCAAATACAGTCAAGGGAAATTTTTGCCAAACACGAAAATCTTGTTTCGTGGGGTTGGGAGGGGGATAAATGTACTACATATATTATCATGAAAATATTTATATGAGAACAAATTTATACATGTATTGGCTTGCTTTGACAATATCAGACACGTTGCATCGTTTTGAAGGGGGAGGGGGGGGGGCATGCAGAAGAATAATTGAAAACTCAAGAAAATCTTTAACAAGCTAAAAAGATTTTTCCAAACACGAAAATCCTGTTTTCATTGAGAGGGGGTCGACTTTTTTTCAATTTTCAATGGGAAAAAATTTTAATACGTTGTATGTGCTATCGAAGAATTTAACTTAACTACGACATGGGGGGGGGGGGGGGGGCTGAATACTAGTATAGCCTGGAATATCTATATTTCATATAGATATGACCTGATTGCTAATTATCAAATAAACTGAAAATATAAATGTCGGAATAAATAAAACTATACAAAGCACTACTCCTCGACTACCTTTTATTTGAAGATTGAAATAGCAAGCAGCCTGACGTTTAACAAGAAGACCTACGTCCGTGCATATATTGAGTACTATCGTAAAAATGTGGTCAGTCTTGAACAAACCAGCCTAGCCGGAATTCCACTGACGGCAGGCCATGGTCAAGAATACTTTCTGAAGATCCGCAGTATAGGTACCATGGAAGTTGTGCTTGTCGAGATGAGGTTTGCAGACAAACAGAAAGCCGCCATTTTGAGAAACACTCGATACAGCCAAAGTCTGTCCATGAAGGACTGGATCTCCTTTGCCAACCAAACAGTGGGCGAGCCGTCCAACGTCAAAGTAATTCTATGTATCCTTCTTTTAGATAATCTTTTTTGAATTAGTTGAATAGATAAATCACACAAGAAAACGTAAATATTTCTTCAAGTCTATGATCTTTAGTTTTTTTTTTTTTCATGCCAGAATTCTAAGGTTTGAATTAAATTCTCCAGTGTCAGTATTATGGCTTTTTATATATTTTGATTGTTTCTCTGTATTTCAGTTTCATCATATATATTACATATCGAGCCTTTTTTCTTACACTTCACATATATTTTGTAGTATAATTTCAGTTTTGTTCTTTATATGTATGTTTCGGAATTTTCTATGGTAACTAATTAACCAAAACTTTTTTGTTTATTAAAACCAGAATCATTCATCTGTGTGATAATTAATATATATCTTTCCCCTTAGACAGCTTAGTGGGTTATCCATTGGTATATTCTGACAACTGAAGTTTGTACCTCTTTATATTATACATGTACACTCTTTCTAAATGAACGTTTAGGCCAAATAAAAAAATATGTGTGGTTCCGGTTACCCGACCTTCCCTATTTTATACCCCCGACCCTAAACTTTTTTTTGGCGATTTTCATATTTTTTCCGGAATTTCCTCCGATTTCCATCAATGGCTCCAGTTTAAGTTTTAGTTTCAGCATTATGACGGCCTCCTTGCAAAACATAGTGCAAGTGTTTAATAGTGTTAAATCCAAAGCAAGCTAGCATGTAGGTGTCCCCTACCAATATTGACTAGTATATTATCACATCACATCTAAATGCCATTTGCAAAGCAGTGATAGGTGTTATTTAGAAGAAATTAAGAAAATCATTTTGTTTACTAAAAAAAAAAAAAAAAAAAAAATCCCTACCTACCTACCCTAATTTTTTTGGAAGTGTAACCGGAACCACACATATTTTTTTGTTTGGCCTTAAGGTAATTCGAATGTCCACTGCAAGACGACTCATGGAAGTGAAGAAATACAGGACTGGTAAAATGGCAGAAATCAAGGGATTATTGGGACGTTACGAGGGGGAGATCCAGGACATAAGAAGGGAGATATCACAGGACTACATACAACCCCACCTAGACTACGCCTTCCAGCCCTACTACACCAGGCCTCAGGGTAAGTAAAAATATAGCACAGGACTACATACAACCCCACCTAGACTACGCCTTCCAGCCCTACTACACCAGGCCTCAGGGTAAGTAAAAATAAAGCACAGGACTACATACAACCCCACCTAGACTACGCCTTCCAGCCCTACTACACCAGGCCTCAGGGTAAGTAAAAATAAAGCACAGGACTACATACAACCCCACCTAGACTACGCCTTCCAGCCCTACTACATCAGGCCTCAGGGTAAGTAAAATATAGCACAGGACTACATACAATCCCACCTAGACTACGCCTTCCAGCCCTACTACATCAGGCCTCAGGGTAAGTAAAATATAGCACAGGACTACATACAACCCCACCTAGACTACGCCTTCCAGCCCTACTACATCAGGCCTCAGGGTAAGTAAAAAAATATAACGGGGGAAAAAGAGGGCGCGCTGTCAATCTAGGGAGTTTATCCAAATAAAACGAGAGAGAGAGAGAGAGAGAGAGAGAATGAATCAGGATGACTTTGATGACTTGCAAATTTAAACTGAAATGCACAGTGTTGACTCTTGTGCAACATACTTTGTACTGAGGAAGAATGTTGAGAGCAAAAGTTATCACCAAAGTATTATCTATTTATTTTATTCGTTATAGGACTTCAATTACGAAGTGGATCAGACAGATCGCTGTGGGAGAAGGCATCAATAACAGAGGTCAAAATTATCAAAGCCCAGGCCCGCCAGAGGTCCATACTGCGTAGAGTAAGTAACAGTGTGGGTTGTGTGGTCGTAGACAGAGTGGAATGTGGTTGAAGGCAGGCTGTAGTCATAGGCAGGTCTAGGGTTTGATGTGGTCGTAGAAAGAATGGCATGTGGTCGTAGGCATGGTAAGGTGTGGCATAATGAGATGTCATAGTCAGGAAGAGATGCGTCGTAGGCAGGTTGGGATGTGATCGTAGACAGGGTGGGATGTGATCGTAGGCAGGTTGGGATGCGATCGTAGGCAGGGTAGGTTGTGATCGTAGACAAGGTGGGATTTTATCGTAGACAGGGTGGGATGTAGTCGTAGGCAGGGTAGGATGTGGTCTTAGGTAGGGTGCAGTGTGGTCGTAGGCAGGGTGGGATATGGTCCTAGGCAGGATGGAATGTTATCGTATAGGCGGAGTGTAGTATGGTTGAGGCAGGATGCATTGTGATTATAGGAAGAGTGGTGTGTTGTTGAAGGTAACGTTTGTTGGTTGGTTGTTGCTTTGCGTCCCATCGAGAATATTTCACTTGTGTTGGAACGCCAACGATTGTCGCAGTGGAAGGTTGCAATTTTTTGAAGACCCGTGTCCGACAAGTATGACCATTGACCAGTGATGGGTCTTTTTAGTGCCAGCATCTACTTCGGCAGGGGAACTCGTTTTACACGTTATTGTATGAATGGCCGGTTGCCATGTCCCGCAGTGGGATTCGAACCCGTGACTTAAGGATCAAATCCTTACTCCAGTTGACTCTAGCTTGGTTTGAGATATGTTTTAAAAAATACAGAACTGAAATTGTATGAAAAAAGGAGTTCACCTAGTTGCTTAATTAGGATATGCTTCAAACCTGTATTGATTATATAGCCACCCTTATAAAACTATAGTATTACGATGAAGAACATAATTGCAAGATACTTTTCAATGGCCAGTGATATAGTAGGTGTTTCGGCATTCATGTCCCGATTTAAGGTTTCCAAAAAGTTATTAAGAATTTATGAAATTAAAATGTTGCAAAATGTAAAGAACATATCCATACAATGTAAATAAAGCTGGAACATTTATTCTTATAAAACAGGCATTTTTCAATGTGTTCCAAATGACTGCAGTGTTTCTCGGTCACAGACTAGGTTTGTCTCTTTGTCCTAATATTGCTCAAATTTTGACATGGTTCGAACAATGTTTCGTAGAAAGATGCTTCTCATCAATTGGGTGCTTCTTTTTCAAAATCCCATTCACTAGTAGTGGTGATTTTCCGTTTGCATAGATTAATTTAACAATATCAGTACAGGGATCTTTTATTGTCCATTAAAAAAATTACCTGACTTTTCATGATGTAATCCTAACTAAAAACAATTATGGCCTTATAGTATCTTTTTTATAATATATAAATTGATGGAAAATATGTTATAAAATGTTGTTGTTCAGATTTGTAAATATCTTTTTTATTGTTGTGCAAAAATAGACATCTAAAGTCGGGACATGTTTGTTAAAACAAACTGTATAATACGAGTTTTATGCTTTCAGTGTAAGCGAATCATATTGCCCAGTTGTGCAACAATGAAAACTCTGAAGTCACAAATCAAATCTCTCAAAGCAACATTCGATACAGAAAGACGAAAATGGGTCAATTTAAGCGAGACACAAAAACAACAAACAGTGGAAACAACTAGAAAGAAGATTAACAACTTGGCACAACAACAATCAAAAATGATTTCCCAGTTTAAGCAATGGAGAAGACAACAAAAAGCCGCAAAGAGAGCCGAGAAATTAAAACAGAAGAAACTCCGCCAGAAACAGAGATCACAGAGGAAGAAATCCAAGAAAAGGAAAATTACTAGAAGTAAAATAGTACTGTTAACCAATAACACTATCCTACCGACCGTAGTGTAGTTATGGTACAATATACCGGTATATTCTGTTATTGTTGATCAATCTTTCTTTTGTTATGCTTTCATCGCTGAATGGATGGTTTAGAATGAATGATTGGAAAATAATCATCGTATGTCAGACATCGTCTCAAGCCACGGTTCGCAGTCTGCATATATAGCTTTCTCCTTCTCTCTTAGAATGGGGAAAGGATCGTAAATTTTGGCAGTGGTTTGCGACGATGAATGTCAGATTGTGATGATATTATGATTGACAAACTGAATTTCTTATGCTTCCTGTTTGTTTATATATGTTACGTATACCACTTTGAGACTGTTTTCTCTACTACTCCGGCAGACCTAATGATTTGATATGATTTTACTGGTTAATGTCTGAAATAATACAGTAGATCTTGATTGCATAACTAATATTTTCTGAGACTTAATTTACGAAATATGTTTTGAGACTAGATGAATATAAAAATATAATAATTGTAATGTGTCGATCCGTCGTTTGTCAAGCTGTTTGCCTGTTAATCTATATGAATAAATTTTCAAAACTCCATTCCACGTGGTTTTGATGTGATTTCTCTCAAACATAATTCTTTTTTTTTTTTTTTTGGTTTTTGATTTCAATGAATAATAAAAATAGAATTGCAAAATTCTCTTGGAACCCTTCTCCTGAAAATAAAGTCTGATTTCAGTAATACTTCGTACACTCACAGACAACACCAAGATATCATATTTGTGCATTGTTTTGTGATATCGGTGAATGACGAAGCCACAGTAACTATAAAACTAGGATCTTTGAAATTCTTTCAACTGTGTCTGCGGTTTTCGTTCGATTTCATTGAAACTTCGTACATAGGTTAAATATATTGAAATACATAATTCTATTTATCTGTTTTCATAAACGGTCAGTGGAAAAAAATGTTTCAATTTGTCAGTATTCTACTACTACCTTTTATTTCAATAAATTGTGGTAGTCAACATCAAAATACAAAAATCGGAGTATCAGTATTTGACTTTTATAAATAAGTTTTGCCATGGTTATATAAACTAGCATAATCTGTCCATTCCTCTTCCTTCAGTCAGATTTCAATAAAATAAATACATGTACATAGTAGCAGTGGCGTATATTCCATATAAGGAAATTAAAGGCCGTAGCCTACACATCATTTTTTAGGGATAAAAAAATTGTTGGAAAAAAAGGAAGAAAAGATGAAAATAATTCTTATCTATTAATTTCATTTTGTTGCAAATGCTAAAAAAAGCATTCTTAGCAATCGGTACTTTTATATCTATCCAACGTTGACAGTTTTACTATATATTTAAAGACAAAACTTCCTATAGCTGGAATTTTTTAAATGATTAGTGCAGGAAATGAAATAAATATTACTGGAAATATATTTTTGGTTAGTAGGAAATTAAATATATTGGTCGGATTTAGATTATTCAGTAAGGAAGATTCCATATTTTCTAAGCAGAGTAAAAATAAGTTAAAAGTTCTCAATTTTGTTAAGTAGTCTTCATATCATGATATAAACTGAAAAAAAAGTTTTACAATATTATTTTCACTTGTCAATTTGTAGATGACGAACGTAGAAGCTCCCACCGACCCCCCCCCCTCCCCCAAATCCCTATCGAGAGTAGGGAGGGCGACATTCTCTTTGCATACCCACACTTTGCGCCTCAGGTTAAATCTGTGACTTCTCACTAGCCTACACATTAGCAGATAGGAAAATACGCCACTGAGTAGTGTATCCTACTTTAATTTCCGTGTACGCTATTTAATTTGCCACTGTCAGTTAAATAGATGGAATCTGTTAATTTGCTAAAATCTTCCTCCTCTTACTGTTTTATTCAGATTTCAAAAGAATGATGTAGAACCTCAGTTTATCTCTGGTTATCAAATTACAACTTGATGAAAACTTAACAGTCACCATTATTTAGTTATTGACCTTAGAAAACACTACTATACTGAGTACAAGTTTTTAAACATAAATAATAAAAAAAATATACCTTTTTGACATCCATATATTAAAAATCTTGTAATTTATTAAAAACTGCCTTTTTATTTCCTTGTACAGTACGTTCACATTGTATTTTTATTTAATTTTTGATTACTCACATGTAAATATTATCTTATATATTAACTTGAATGTAAGAAATCATTTACTACTCGAGTAGGGGAACCACTCCTGATACATGGAGGGCAGTAGTTTTCATTTATATATTTGCTTTCTCTTTCTCATACATTGCTCGCTAGTAACTTAGTAACGACTACTTTAGTACTCAAGTTCGAAAATTGCCTGGACTCATATGACTAATTTAGTACTCAAGTTTGAAAACTGCCTATTAACTCATGACTAATTTAGTACTCAAGTTTGAAAACTGCCTATTAACTCATGACTAATTTAGTACTCAAGTCTGAAAACTGCCTAGTAACTCATGACTAATTTAGTACTCAAGTTTGAAAACTGCCTATTAACTCATGACTAATTTAGTACTCAAGTTTGAAAACTGCCAATTAACTCATGACTAATTAAGTACTCAAGTTTGAAAACTGCCTAGTAACTCATGACTAATTTAGTACTCAAGTTCAAAGACTGCCCCAAAATAACATACCTATGAGCTCAAAAAGGCACTTTGGGAAGCAAATATAGCAACAAAGACACAGCATTAGGAATGACGGGAGAAAGTGAATAGGAGACTTGTCAAGGTGACAAAGTTTGACATAGGGATAATTAGGAAAATCTACTATTCAAGTACGAAGGGGCTACATTTAGTCTTATTGAAATAAATATATTCCAATCTAGTGATGATTCAAATCATAGTTCCTATGATTAAGATGGGGACACAATATGGGGGTCTCTGTTTTACAGAGAAGTAGATTAACTTTTGAAAGGACAAGCCTACAGTTAGTAAGTTTGACTTTGTCTCAACATACACGTACTTTAAATTAAATTGCTGGGTCTGATTTATCTAATTATTTAGTCATATAGATGACAATATCCAAAATGTAAATGAGACAGGATCAACATATACATATATGTCACACAATATTTCATAAACTGGTTAAACAACATTAAACTATTGTCCAGACCTAAAACAACTAAATCTAAAGGTAAATGATATTTTTATTGTCTTAAAACTTAACAATATCATTTAATAAAGTTACAAATTAAAAGTTGATTTTATTCATGATTAACAAAAAAATACAATAATTTTTGTAACTCAATAATTTACAATTAACATAAAAGCTAATTAAAAATAAAATTTCATTAGCAGCAACACAATTTAAGGACATAGCTGAAGACATATCAAACATTGTATACTGATCTCTTTTGTTAGTTGTATACTGTGTAATTTATTTGTCCTCTTTATTTCCGTTACAACATCATCTGATTAAAATTAAATGTTTTGTTATAAATTGATGGAGATAGAAATACATGTATTAATTTTTCATTACTTGTAAAGTACACACAAAAAGTACATGCATAAGTAAGCACTGGATAGAGACATTTCCATGCTGTGTATTGAATGCATCAATCAAAAATTAATGCAAAAAATCATCTTTCCTAATACGACGTGCATGTATGATAAGAAAAGATGAAAATACATTTTAAAATTTCTATTTGTTATTGTATCTTTCAAGGCCCAGATATACATTTATTCCAAAATCAAATAATACTTTGGTAGAAGCAAAATTAAAACAAAACTATATAAAATCATTTGAACAACCATGATTCCATGAAAAGATAAAGCAATACACTGAATTTCAGACAAAATAATTAAAATGTCAATTCTACAAATAGTCAGTGTTGACTAAATATACTGTGCAACAAAATAAATAGGTTCTCCATTTCATGCTAATTTTGGTCTGAGGTCACCGGGGAATTTCCTGCAAGTCTTCACCACTGCTCTCCCCAGTCCTAAAAACAAATGGAGACAACCATTAAAGTCTAAATTAATTTGAAGAAATTCAATAGTTTATCTTTTTTCAAATATACATTTCTAAAATAGTTCCGACTGATATATATTTATCAACCTGGGGGAAAAAAACAAGTAGCCTAACCTTCACCTACCCTTCAAAAAAAAAAAAAAACAAAAAAACTAAACAAACAAAACCCAATGTTTATAGCTTCATAGCACAGATTAATACTAACAGTACACCCATCTAACTGACTCACCCTGTTGGAGGTTTGAGTGAGTTGTCGGCCATCTTCACCTTTTTAACAACTGTGGGGGCTTCACTGGTTGGAACAGCTGCTGCCGCACTACAGAACAAAGGGGTAAGATTCAGTCAGTGTGAACTCACAAGGCACAGTGAGATAAAGGAATAATTAATCTTAACATTCATGAGGTGATATTTGGTCTGGATACATTCTGATAAAAGAATCAGTTCAAATAAAATTGTGTATTTTGTGTAAAAACTTCATGACAATATTCAAGAATCAGAAATAAAATAAACTTGGTCAATGGAACTCAGATTAACATGTATTCTGAAGCTCAGATTTATATGTATACTAATGCATTGATTTACATATATACTAAATTCCAATGCTCAGATTTACATGTATTCTCGTATATCCTAATTCTCAGATTTACATGTATTCTCCTATATCCTAATTCTTGGATTTACATGAATTCTCATGTATTTACATGAATTCTTGTATATCCTAATTCTCTGATTTACATGTATGCTCATGTATCCTAATGCTCAGATTTACATGTATTTCATATATCCTAATTCTCAGATTTACATGTATTCTCATGTATCCTTATTCTCAAATTTACATGTATTCTCATATATCCTAATTCTATGATTCACATGTATTCTCATATATCCTAATTCTCAGATTTACATGTATTTTCATATATCCTAATTCTCTGATTTACATTTATTCTCATGTCTCCTAATTCTCAGATTTACATGTATTCTCATGTCTCCTAATTCTCAGATTTACATGTATTCTCATGTATCCTAATTCTCTGATTTACATTAATTCTCATGTCTCCTAATTCTCAGATTTACATGTATTTTCATGTCTCCTAATTCTCAGATTTACATGTATTCTCATGTATCCTAATTCTCAGATTTACATGTATTCTCACGTATCCTAATTCTCAGATTTACATGAATTCTCATATATCCTAATTCTCTGATTTACATGTATTCTCATATATCCTAATTCTCTGATTTACATGTATTCTCATGTATCCTAATTCTCAGATTTACATGTATTCTCATATATCCTTATGCTCAGATCTACATGTATTCTCATGTCTCCTAATTCTCTGATTTACATGTATTCTCATGTCTCCTAATTCTCTGATTTACATGTATTCTCATATATCCTAATTCTCAGTTTTACATGTATTCTCATACATCCTAATTCTCAGATTTACATGTATTCTCATGTATCTTAATTCTCAGATTTACATGAATTCTCTTATATCCTAATTCTCTGATTTACATGTATTCTCATGTATCCTAATTCTCTGATTTACATGTATTCTCATGTATCCTAATTCTCTGATTTACATGTATTTTCATGTCTCCTAATTCTCTGATTTACATGTATTCTCATGTCTCCTAATTCTCTGATTTACATGTTTTTTCATGTCTCCTAATTCTCAGATTTACATCTATTTTCATGTCTCCTAATTCTCAGATTTACATGTATTCTCATGTATCCTAATTCTCAGATTTACATGTATTTTCATATATCCTAATTCTCTAATTTACATGTATTCTCATATATTCTTATTGTCAGATTTACATGTATTCTCATGTCTCCTAATTCTCAGATTTACATGTATTCTCATGTATCCTAATTCTCAGATTTACATGTATTCTCATATATCCTAATTCTCAGATTTACATGAATTCTCGTATATCCTAATTCTCAGATTTACATGTATTCTCATACATCCTAATTCTCAGATTTACATGTATTCTCATACATCCTAATTCTCAGATTTACATGTATTCTAATGCTCAGAATTACATGACTGTCTTTGAATGTATTCTCATTTGATAAGTTTGATCAAGGGTAAATACCATTTACAAATACATGTAGATTTATATAAATACATGTTCATAAACATCAACCTGTACAATACCAAACAACACTGTATAACCGAGTCCTGACCTTTCTGATTCAGCTGGAGGATCAAATCGTAGCCTTTTCTGACTTTTGGGGGTGGTTCCAGTGGTACCATTTTTAGCCCTAGACATGGCCTCATTAATCCTCTGTAACTTCTCATTGGACTGTAGATAAGTTGATAACATTATCAATTCTTAACTACTGTACATTAAATAATTTCTTAAAGACTGAATTTTGCTATGCTTATGCTGTGTTCCAGAAAATTCTTCTGATGACACTACAGTATATGTGTTTTATATAAGAATTAACAGTTATTTCTTTTCAGCTGAAGTTCTATAACTTTCTCCAATCTAAGTCTACATCTTAAGAAACTATAATACCCCTGTAAGATCTCCAAAACTGTACAGCTGTCGAGACCTAGGTGTCATGTTGCTTGGAGACTGGGGGGCCTTGAATGGGGAGTCCTTCAGGGGGGACACATAGAAGTTACGTCTTGATGGTATGCTAATAAACAAGAACCATGGGAAAAAAAGTCTATTAAATTCATAATAACTGATAAGACTGTTCATGGGAAGTACAATACTGGTCTTTATCAATACTTGTACCTTAAATAGAATTCAAATGATTTAAAAATATATACTTGTATATAAATAAATGATAGTTACAAATACCTGTAGACAGGAGAGGTCATTGTTTTGGGAACTGGAGATAAGGACGGTGTCTACAAAATACAAAGGGACTTATAATTAACAAAGGAAGAGTAGATGAATTAAATTAAAATCAAGTTTTCGTCCTTGGGAATAAATATACTTGTAAATGCACATTTTCTTGAATATATATGTATGTCATCATAAAAATACTTTACAGAGACCTATACTCATAATCAAATCAGAAGAATTTCATCTGACATTTATAAATATCTGTACCTGCTTTGTTGGAGCAAACTGTAATATATAGCCCTTCATGTTGTGCATGAACACTCTGTTGTAGAAGCCAATGATGGAATCATACTCTCCACGTTCTATCAATGCATGCCTGTACACCTGGAAGTCAAATTCTATAAATGCTTTACTTATGTGACAAGAAACTTAACAACAACAAAAAATAGAAAAACTAAAAGCAAGGGGTCCAAAGACAGACATAATGATTTATAGTAGGCTTTGTTTGGAATATGATCATAGTGTATGTCCAGAAAATCTGAACCTAGAACAAGTGGAACAATATGACAAATTGAAAATCTTTGGATAATCAAGGGGAAAAGTTATTCGGAGCAAAAACAAAAACAAAAAAAAAACGAATAAAACAAGAGGCCCATGGGCCACAACGCTCACCTGAGTAACTTTGGCCCTGCTGTTCTTCACCAGACTTTCCCCCATGTAATACACCTATTGTGGTCCCATCCTATCCCAGGGGTCATGATTTTAACAATTTAGAATCTACACTACCCCAGGATACTTCCACATTAGTTTCAGCTTTTCTGGCCCTGTGGTTCTTGAGAAGAAGATTTTTAAAGATTTTTTCTATATATTTCAATGTAAAACTTGCGATTCCCTATTGTGGCCCCGCCCTACCCCCGGGGGTCATGCTTTTAACAATTTATATCTACACTACCCCAGGATACTTCTACATTAGTTTCAGCTTTTCTGGCCCTGTGGTTCTTGAGAAGAAGATTTTTAAAGATTGTTTCTATATATTTCAATGTAAAACTTGGATTCCCTATTGTGGCCCCGCCTTCCCCCCGGGGGTCATGATTTTAACAATTTAGAATCTACACTACCCCAAGATGCTTCCACATTAGTTTCAGCTTTTCTGGCCCTGTGGTTCTTGAGAAGAAGATTTTTAAAGATTTTTTCTATATATTTCAATGTAAAACTTGGATTCCCCATTATGGCCCCGCCCTACCCCCTGGGGTCATGATTTGAACAATTTAGAATCTACACTACCCCAAGATGCTTCCACATTAGTTTCAGCTTTTCTGGCTCAATGGTTCTTGAGAAGATTTTTAAAGATTTTTTCTATATATTTCAATGTAAAACTTGGATTCCCTATTGTGGCCCCACCCTACCCCTGGGGGTCATGATTTTAAAAATTTAGAATCTACACTACCCCAGGATGCTTCCACATTAGTTTCAGCTTTTCTGGCCCTGTGGTTCTTGAGAAGAAGATTTTTAAAGATTTTTCCTATATATTTCTATGTAAAACATTGATTCCACATTGTGGCCCCGCCCTACCCCCGGGGGTCATGATTTGAACAATTTAGAATCTACACTACCCCAGGGTGCTTCCATATAAGTTTCAGCTTTACTGGCCCTGTGGTTCTTGAGAAGAAGATTTGACCCCACCCTATTTTTGTCTTCTCTTGATTATCTCCCCTTGTGAGGGGACTTGGCCCTTCATTTTAACAATTTAAATTCCCCTTCACCCAAGGATGCTTTGTACCAAGTTTGGTCAAAATTGGCCCAGTGGTTCTCGAGAAGAAGTCAAAAATGTGAAAAGTTTACAGACGGACGGACAGACAGACAGACAGACGGACAGACGGATGGACGGACAAAATGTGATCAGAAAAGCTCACTTGAGCCTTCGGCTCAGGTGAGCTAAAAACAACAAAATCTGGAAAGAATGGAGGAGACAGAAAAATTACTAAAGGGCACCTGCAAATTCTTGCACAGCCTTAAAAATGTACTCTTTTCTGGGAGTTGATGTCAAAAGTAGAAGAGTTAAAGAAACAGAGCTTCAAAAATAACAAGTTATTCAGCATTGCAAGTCTCAAGAAAATGGAAAATAACTTTAGTTATCTACATCTAACAGAACTAATTTTACTTACACTTGGGCTGGCATCAGGCAGCTCACTGTAGGTCCGAATTATCACCTTAAATTTAATTTCTTTTTCTGCTACTTTGCAAATCCCATACACTGAGCAAAGCATCAGCTGCAACAAAAATGAAGATGTCTAAGCATTATATATGTGCAGTATTTGATTTCATCTTCATTTCACTGTTGATTCCTTAGATTACAATAATATCCTATCAAGAATTTCAAAATATCTTAGAGATTTTTTCAGAGTAGACTTTTTGTTAAGATGAATCATGATGTGATTTCTAATATCTGTTCCCATACAAGATCAGTAAGAACATCTCTCGATTCTGCATTAAGAATGGAGGCAAGTATCCCAAATACATAGAATTATCAAGAATATGATTGTTCATCATGATATTTCAACTTTTAAATAGGCAAAAGATATGTAATGTATTCAATTTGATGAAACTGCAGGCATTGAGATTGACCAAGAGAAAAAAGTGGTAATTGTCAATAGAGTCTACAAAATACATGTACTTTGTTTTCATATTCAAATAAAATTTGTTTTTCACCCACTTTAGTTCATTTTTTACTTGCATGAGAAAACTTGTCATTTTCCAGCACTGGTACCGTAAGTTTTGGAAGATAAGACGATACTTTTTTCTCAGAACCGCTGGGGTCGTCCTATTTAACAAATCGACCTATCTAAGGCTCAAGTTTACGAAAAATGCCTCCAAATCAGTAAAATTTACGTCAATTTTAAAGCAAATCTGTGCCATTTTCGTATTTTTTAAAATTATTTTAAAATAATAAACAATAAAGAATTAAATATTTATTCCATTGATTTCTTACAAAATAAGTTCCATTAAATATCCGTCGATGTACAAAAAAAAACTTATTACCGGTATATCATCTAGTAATTAATGTCTCAAAGTATATTTACAACATGCTGTGTCCATCTTGTGAAGTTGGAAGTCACAATCGTTTACTAAAAAGAAAACCGCAGCCGTATCAAAATTTAAAATACGGAAGAGTTTTCACAATCGCAATTGTAATCTTTTTTTTTTACCATTTATTTTTAACGATTAATTGAAATAGTATGCCTAAATATTTGTTCATTGTCTTGTGATATTTATTTAAATGTAAAATGCGTGAAGTAAATTGTTGCCAGTAAATTCCTAAATTTATTTACCAAATATACCGCTAGTAATAACTATTTTGTTTTATATCTTGATTAATTATAATAAAACGAACTTATCTTGAATATACTATTATACATTTTTGGAAGATATAAATTCATTTATTCACGATACGTTATTTTTTATTCACAGTTTTTTTGTTTTTGTTTTACAAAATAAATATTTTTTTAATGATAGTATTAAAAGCTTCCTCGTACCCAAGGGGTACACTGAATTATACAAAGATTGGCTTCTAATAGAATTTTAATTGTCTGACAGATAAAGGGATATACACTGTGTACACAAAGGTGTTAACACCTGTGTTGGTTAGAACACCTGCGGGGCATGATTGACAGATCCACATGCCGTTACAGGGGTATTAGTGCTATACATCATCGAACAAACAAAACTGTGAAATTCTTGATGACTGTTAAATTGGGAATGTACTCTCAATTAAATTTATTTTTTACAACAATATCTCAAGCAAAATTATAGCATGTTAATATGATTAATTTCATTTGCACATTGTTACATGTAATAGTCATTTGCGTGTTTTAGCAAATCCCTGGACAAGAAAATATATAAAAATGGCGGTCATCGAAGTTGATTTTTTACCCCGGTAAATAATGTCGGAATAAAAGAATGATTCCACGATGTTCTAAAATGGAATGATTATTGTTTGATTTCGGGTATTTCCCTAATTATAGCTGTTTTATACTACCGTATTTATGTGTTTAACGACAGAGTCAAACTACGACGGCGTTGAACAGGCAAGTTGGAGAAAATACGTTATGTCACAGTTCAAGGAAGTTTTAACTACGTTTGTATAAAACATTATTAAAATACTGCACTCATAAAAATACTAGTTTATTTTCTCAATACGTTAATATCACGGGTTAAGTTAAAGAGGTTTACATGTTCTGATACGTAGTATCTACGTAAGAATCTCTAGAAATCGATAAACAAAGCCTCGTCCTATCTTCCGAATTCGTCCTATCTAAGGATTTTTTAAAAATTACGGCTGAAAAGGAGCCTTTCGACCTATACACCCCATCGACATATACCCCAAAATTTACGGTAATTAAACCATTTGTTTGTATCATTACTGTATATTAGGAAAACAATCATTGCTTAGCCTAAATGTTAACAAAAACACCATCAATGGAACTGAAATTTGGATATAATTATACAACATTTCTTGTGGAAGACTGGGAACAATTTGAACCTTGCATTACACATACAGAGAGAAGTGCAGATTGACAGTATTCTTCCTTCAAACTCTATTGACTGGTATTTAATAAATATTTGCAAGAGAGAAGAAGAATCTCTGACTAACCTGGTCCAGGTGTCTGTTCTTCAGTAAACCTGTCTTCTTTGTTATACAATACTCAAAACAGGTCCAGATCTTGTGTTGCTGAAAAAAACCCAACATGCATGAAATTTAAGTACAAAAGGAGAGATAAATGATGCATGTATATGAGCCATATAATATTTTAAAACGATCTACTTAATCTCCCCCTTGTTTTCAATATCACGTATCCTTTCACTTTTCAAGCATTGCTACAGCTAAAATGCTTCAAGCAATTCTCAAGACAAACTGTTTTATCAAAGTTATTCAGGAAAGATTTTAATTATGAAGAATGAAAGACAAATAAAAATAAAAACAACTAGTAATCATTTGTTTTCTACAATAATACTTTTTCGAACAGGCACTGTACCCTTTCTCTAAATATGTATCCCTGGAAAATACTGTAAATGTACATAAATTAGAGCACTCAAAATTTAGTGCAATCTTCATCACCAACTGATTAGAGTGATCATGAATTATTTGCAGTTCAGAACTAAGCTTTTTTTTCTATGTATTTGTTGTTATTCTATATTAAGGTGTACTTGAATTAGTGGAAAGGAAGCAGTGTGAAAAACATTAAAATATGATTACCACTAAAATAAATATGATTACAGTACAAAACGGGGAGTAAGCCAATCCAAAAGCCATGTAATATCCACCCTGTTATCACTAGAGAGAAATGGTTTTAATCTATGTTGACATCTACATGACTTCTATTCTTCTGTACCACTGGGGGTTTCAGAATTCAAATAATACACGATTGTATGTAAAGTTAACAAAAATATATTAAGTGCTCATGATCTGCCAGCTTATGTTAACTAAAATTCTTGCCGTTGCACTGCACTGAAGAGGAAACTTTAAAATAAAATTTGTACTTACTAGATCCTTCGGTATATTAAGAAGTGAAGTCAGCTGTTCAAGGCGATGGAATCCTAATCGGCAAACTACAATACACAATATACATGTAGAACCCAAAAACATTGAAATGCTAATCAGTAAACTAAAATACACAACAGAGAAACCTTCAACTTTTCCTTTTCATTCCGATAACTATTATCACCATTATATATTTTTTACAGGTACAGTAAACTCTTTTGGCCTCAGAAAAAAACACCCATTATTAATTACATGTACATTTATTGAGAAAAGCAAAAAACATGCAGTAGCTTACCTTTATTAAGGAAGATGGTGAGAGACTGAGATCTTTTTCCTGTGCCTTTTTCAGGACTTGTCAGTTCCTGAGCTGGGGAGGACACCTTTTGGGGGGATTGTCCATAGGAGGGAGAGAGGCCTCTATTTTTCGTTGTAACAACTCGCATTGGTGATAGATATCTTAAAGTCAATAAAAGTTATGTTGTACATCTGTAAACATATCTAACAACTATTAATATTCTTCAAAATAATACAGTCTGATTTGCCTAGAGCATGTCACGTGCAGGGAGACAATCTCAGGTGACAATCCTACCCAGGCCTGATAATTTGTGATGTCTCAAACTCCCTAAACATTCCATAATTGTTATACTTTCATGTTAAATAGTCAAATTTGCTTGGTTTAAAACACTGCGTGCTCTGGGTAATATTACATACATGTAGCAACGATTGACATGACAACGGGTAACAGTATAAAAATTGTTAACTGTGTAGAATGTCTGCGCATGCGGTTCACTGTGACCTTTTCTTTTAAATGCATTCTACACACATTCAGTATAACAAAAAAATATTAATGTTTATTTAGGGTAACAGGTGAAATTGTTATCCCTTGAAAACCTCTGCTCACCTCAGTCAGCAATGGTATTCGCGGGATAAAAATTTCAAATGTTAACCTACAAAATATGTAATATTTTTAAATTGTTACATGTGTAACAGCTTAGGAAGGACCTCAGCATGTGTATAAACACAAAATACAAGATTACATGTAGCTAAAAAAGAAATTAGTAAAAAAAAAAAACCCTCCACATTGTCAAACTTACAGATCAGCTGACGACACTGTATTAGTAAGGGGCGAGACCTCTACTGGCAAAGCTGGGGTTTCTGTTTTAATCAAGGCATCAAACACTGGAGATTCCTGTAATAACATTCACAACCATTCTACAATTTAATTTCATACATTCATGTTTAGATACAATGAATTTCCACAAATGTATCATTAACAAGATTTGATAAATGATGGCATTTTTGCAATATTTTGACAAGTACTACTACTGTGTGTCGGAAGTCTTACTGATATTATTTTTTTTCTTTTTTTTGTGGTCATTTTCTTCATATGAAATAAATTAAACAATCATGCAAAAAACTGGAATGTAAATAATTGAACTTATTCATCATAGATAAGAACCTGAAATCACTGCACAATTTAAAAGCACTCAAAAGTACGAGGTAAAAATGTTCATTGTCCAGCAATTCAGTACTTACTGCTGTCCAAGCCAGCTGCTCTAGGATTTTCTTCTCTAAACCCTGAAGGTGCTACAAATAGACCACACATAAGTTTCAATTATTCAGTTACATTTCAGTTTTCAGGAACTGCATTTCAAGTCTTTTACACTGTACCTTCACAATCTCTTTGGTGAGTATTGGTTCTGCCTTGATGAAACTTTCTAGCACTTTGAAAAAGTCATATGAATGGAGACCAAAAGTTTTTATGATCCAAGGGAATGAGAATTTGGAGTCCCCCGCACAAACTGTTCCAAATGAGGCATTCCCTGCAATACGAAGGATATGTTTAACACGGCAAACTTGAAACATTTACAATACTGAACAATGGTTTGTGTGTTTTTGTTTTTTTTTCCCTCCAACTTTTTGGGAACATTGTCCTGAGTGCCATATTTTGAGAGATTACAATGTTTATGTACACTATACATGTATAAATCTACATGCATTTCCAGTCACCGCCACCCTAAAAAACATGGATCCTTCATAAAATGGTAGGGAGAGTCATGTAAACACAGAAAACTGACTGAGGAAAGTGACTTGTCCTAACAACATCCTCCTCCCCAACTTTGTTAAATTTTCAAAAATAAGCAAAATTGAATACCATGCACATCTCTGAATTATGTATTTATATGTAAAATAAAAAAAAACTTCCTATCTTGTGAACTGTAGGAGGAGTTATAGGGATAAATGATGGACCCAATATGCAAAATTTTGCATAAAAATAACAATGGTTTCATTCAAAAGTTCAAGAGTTATTTTTCTCATAAATTATCAAAAAAATCAAATCCAAGCACTATGCATATCTCTGATATACATGTACATGTATGTACAAATGCATACATGTTAACCTACTGTGATGAAAAAGAGGGAGATTCAATCCTCAAATGAGGTAGCATTGTGGGCGTTATTTTACGCATCGATTTTAAGAATGTAAATATGGCCTAAAATGACCACTGCAATAATGAAACTCAAATATCAACTGCAATGAAGAAGATCTAGACAAAAACATCTGACATAAATACAAACATCTGACATAAATTACACAAACATCTGACATACACTATGGCTTTGATTGGCTGCTTAATTTAACCTTTAAAACTAGTCATCTTTCATTAAACTAGAATATCTGACCAGTCAGCAAGGGCCCCGCCGAGGGGTAGAAATATAAGGGTGCAGATTAGGGGATGAGAACTTTACTTGATTACAAAAAATTTAAAAATATATAAAGACTGCTAAATATCCAACAATCTGTTATAAAAGATAGTATCCTTGTATTTACATAAGGCAGTAAAAAACATCATATCTATAATAACTCAATTAAATGTATATTTAAAAAAGAATGAAGCATGTGTTTTCTAAAATGCCAGCCTTCAGTGAATGCAAATATCACCCAGGCTTGACCTTAACTTCAAAACAAATATCAGTTGCAAACAAAGGTATTAATTAATCTTAAAGTGACAGAAAGATAACCCTCTAAAATTTTCTGCAAACCAGCAAGATAATCAAACCCATGGGATTAATTATACTGCTCTCTCAACCTTTTCTTCTAAGTTTACAATAAGAACTTTTTCTCAGCAATGATAGAATGAGGTTATAATCTGAATACCTGTTAAAATAAATAGTATTCTTGAATTTACATAAGGCAGAAAAAAAAGAAAAAAAAAAGAAAATAATAATAAAAAAGATACCTTTATCTATATCTTGTTTTTAGAATTCAATAAAATCATAACTCATCGTGTATTTCACCAAAATAAAGTATGAACATTATTTAAATCCACATTTCAGAGAATGTAAACATCATTCAGAATTGACCTAACTTCAAAACAAACTTCATTTGCAGACAGAGGTGTTAATTAATCTCAATGTGGCAGATAAAGATCTCTTCAAGAGGAAAGTTAATTAATCCCAAGAGACTCATTGCAGCCTTTCATAGTTTAAAATAGGAACATTCTCAGCAGTTACCTCTCTTTGCCCATTCACTCTTATATAAAGTTAAGGAATCTGCCCCACCACCCCAGCTCCAAACCGGATGACATAGAGAACCAAACTTAGCATCAAAATATGTCTTACTGCCTATTCAACTAACATACCAAATTTGAACTTAACTGGTCAACCCTAAAAGAAGTTATTAGAAAAAAACAGAAAATTTGTGGACATAAGAATGACAGACGGACAGACAGACAGACAGAATGATTACTATAGGGCACCTGCAAATCCTTGCGGGGCCCTAAAAATTGGATTTCCTGCGATGACCGAAAATGAAAGTAGAGATGCAAAAAAAAAAAGTATTAAGTTTTCATCCAGTTCTAGAATACATCTCCCTTTTTCTTGGCAGGGATGATGTCGATATTTATCATAACCAATGTAATCACAGAGATGTGTGCACCTCTTGTTGTCAAACATGTGCTTGAAATCTGTGTAAACATCAGTTTAAAAAAGTGTTTGTATGCTTCCAGTTCAAATCACATGATATCTAATGAGATTATATGACGTTTGGCTTCAAAAATGGCTACCTAAGCAAACCAAAAATATATTGTAGAAAAGTGGTAGATTTACGAATAAAAGCGGTAGGCGGGAGATGGAGTAAAAAAGCAGTAGACTTCCACCTAAAGAGGTACAGTTAACATGTATGACAAATGTTCTGCAAAATAAAAAAGTGTCTATCTTGAAAAGTAAAGGAGGAGTTATTCAGACAAATGATGTACCTGCTGCCTGCCCACCATTTTCACCCTTTCAACAAGCAGATTTTTTCTTACATGTACAATGTACTGTACATGCACAATTCAATACAGTAGTTCCGGCTGTTATACTCACAAGAAGAGCCATACGTCATCATTACGATCTCCAAAGCACAGGCCAAGAGGGACACATGGAAGGAATCAATGTTCAGCAGCTTACTAAAGTCTGTCTGGGAGAGACGCTGCCTCTCCTGAAAATGTACAAATTGAACAAGGATAAAATTAAAACCTGAACATTAGGTGTTAACTTTTTTGTTTATTTTCAATAAAGCCCAAACAGTTGTTCTTTGATTTCAATGTTGTCAAAGTTACTTCAGGAAATTTTCATTAGGAGGATTATAATAGAAAACATACCACAAATTGCACTATGGTTCGAGTAGAGAAAATCTTACATGGTTAAGCATGGCTTCCATGACTCTGTAGTAGAGCCGCTTAGCCAGGACATATCTCTGTTTAGCAATGGCTGCCTGATTTCTGTCCGTCTGCTGCATAAATCCATTAATAAAGACTGTCTCCATTCTATTCACTCTCTCTTTGATAGAAGTCAGTGGGTTCTGAGAGCAATTCTAAAAAAGAAATCAGTGGACTCCAATATGAACAATAGAAGTGTGCATGTGTGCGTGTGTGTGTGTGTGTGTGGGGAGGGGGGGGTCCAACAAGACCAATTCTAGAATAGAAGTCAGTGGACTCCAACAAGACCAATTCTACAATAGAACAACAAGCTTTGAGAGCAACTCTAGATCTGCAATAGATGTCAGTGGGTTCCAACAAGATCAATTCTATAATTTAAGTCTGTAGGCTCTACTAAAAAAGAAGTCATGGGGCTCTAACAAGTGCAATTCTACAACAGAAGTCAGCGGACTCCAATAAAAGCAATTCTACAAATTTCCTGTACTAAATATTAAAGAAATCACACTTCTCATATCAAAAGCTTCTTGACACATAAAATATTGTAGAAATGTACACTAAGGGTCCACGTACAATACCTACTGTAATTCAGGAATGGTAATTAACTTTGTTTCTCATTTGGTAAAAAAATCTTGCAAACATTTTACTCATTGATACATGTAGTTTAAGCAGCATATTATGTCCATACAAAAATACCCTCTCTATAAATCTGCCAAGTAAGATAGTAAGTAGACCTAGCCTATAAAAATTTGCAAAAATCTTATCTCTTCCCATTACCTTGAAATGAGCAAGAAGCTCTGGACTTGGTTCATCTTGTGTGGAGGACAGAATTTTCTTTAACTGCTGAATGGTGTTTAAAGCAGCTCTATAATAAAAAAAAAGCAATAAGGATACATCATGTGATAAATTCAGTTTGCTATGGTAAAATTTATTGCAGCATAGATTAAAACTTAAATTACTAACTCTTTTAGATCAATTGTACTTGTATATTTGTTTATTCTACTAAAATATCAATGAAGAATCAACTGCATAAATTACATATATGCCTTGCAAATTGCCATCATTGAGAAGATTCTCTTATTACACTGAACAAGGCTTAGAATGGTGAAAAATTCAAGTTAACCATAATTTACAGAAGATTGATCGATACTTTTTTTCTGGAAGGTGTTGGTTTTGTTCTATCAATCAAATTGACCTTTTTAAGGCAATGTAAATCATAATTTAGATTAGTGCCCATTGAAGTTTCAGATTGCCATTTAAAATAATTAATGGATAAATAGAGGAAAGGATTTTTCTTTCTGTAAATTTAGTGCACATGCTTGTCCTTAATCAAAATACTTAACTAATTCATTTAAATGTGTACGTTAACTAAGCGACTCCATACTAGAATTTATTAATATGGCAGTCACTAGCATGTTTTAGTAAAACCATCGCTTGAAAATGCATTGAAATAGCGAGTTATGAAAATATCTCGGTGGTGGAATTTTACGGTAGATTCTGTCAGTGATTCTTCTGAGGATCGAGTTACTGATTTGGGCATTGACAAGATGGAGTAAATTTAATATGGTAATGATTAATACTAATTAATATGACTAATTAATATTACTTATATTCAGAGAAGTAAAGTACGAAATTATAATTCATTCAAAAATTAAAGTAATTAAAATATCAATTTATATCAGATGATTTTTGCTTATTCCAACAAGAATATATAGCAAAGGAATCTGCACATTGAAAGATTTTGTTAAATTTTGGGCTAAAAAATGAGCCATTTGTCCTATTAACATAGCTTCTGAAAAAAATTATGGTCCAGGGCATTTTGATTAGTAAGAGAAATATCGCAATTTGCAAATTGACAAAACATATGTGGACCACATTTACACATTCATATAATCAGAGTACTTGAAAATGAACAGGCATCTAAGTAAATAATAAATTTTAAATACAAGTACATTATCTATAACTTTGAACTGAACAAAAACAAACATTTTTTTTTCATTGAAAATATCAACAAACAAACTAATAATACATGAATAAATGATAAAAATTCCAATACATAATTATTCAATGATAAATTTTGCACACAGTAGTGAAAATTTTCAAATATTGATGACAAAATTTGTCATGTTAATTTAACAAGGTACATGTATATGTAGGACATCATACTAGCAAGCTCTTTAGGAATAGGTCACAAATTACTCGGAACATTCTAAAGTTGTGGTCAAACCAAGAATCCATACATGGGTTCTTATACAATTGAATGATTAGGCATTGGAAGAGAATCTACCTCAGAGTTGCCTCTACAGAATCTCCATTAACAGACAGTGTGTTTATTTTCTCAATCAAGTCACTATAATGTGTACAAATAATTTAGAGAATGATGCGAGAGATGAAAAACTGGATTTTTCTGAGGAAAAAGACAAGCCATACCTGACTGGGGTTATTGGTGGTCCATCAGGTTCATCATACCTTGGTGAGGACAAATTACTACAAGAAAGAATTACCACAGTAGTTAAAATTTTGTACTGATAAACAAACAAATATAAAATACATGGTCATAAATACAGGTACATGTATCTTCTGGGTCTTTCAAATTCTCTTTCCCCTACAATATTTGGACCATAAGCATCTGTGCAAAGACGGTAAAAATTTCATCAGTGACTTTGAATGTAAATGCAATTATAAATTAATTCCCCTTGTTCCTCTGCAGTTGTAATTACCAACCACAGATGTACTTTACATGAATCTACATAGTACATGTATATGCATTAAAGGTGTTACCCATTCTGTTCTAGTGGCTGTAGATGGGGATCATTCTGCAGGAATAAGAGCTCATTCAAATCTCCTTTTTGTTTGTAATCTTTCTCATACTGGTCTGTCAGTGCCGATAACTGAAATGAAAAGGAAATGAATTTACAAATACAACTGAACTTCAGAATATAGATTGTTATCTGATATGTCAAAGTGTGTTGGAGTTCCAACTACTATGTCTTTATGTATTTGCTCAATATCTTGAATCATCAGATATCTCGAAGTTTTTTTTCCTCTGTCCCCTTGAGTTTGAGATACCAACGTTTGGCTGTATCACAGGTAAAAACCAATTTTATCTGTAACAAAATATTTATAGTTGCTTTTCCAGACAAGATTACTGTGGAAACCAACAATAAAATACTAGTTCATGTAACTTATTTGTTAACCCTAATTTTAGCTTATCATACATGTATTTCACACATATCTACATGTACTGTACATGTGTAAACAGTATATCTACTATTTTGACAGCTTCTGAAGCCTAAAGCTTTACTGACATTTTTCATATTTTTCTTCTTTATTTCAAGTATTTTATTCTGACCACTGAGACTTTTACTAGATATTCTATATATCTACTTGTATATACAGTACCTCCATGCCCTTTTCTCCTTGAAATAATCTTTGAAAACATGGCTCCACACTGTTCTTCTGCACAAGGACTACCTAAAATTACATGTTGTAGATATACTATACCATGAAAAAATTATGACAAAAACAGGCCATTTATAAGAATCATGGGTGACCAGATTAAAAACAGGTTGTCCTTAAAAAACATTTGGAATTCAACCCATTAATGTGCTTGTAAAATTATAAAACTAAAATTTAAAAACTGATTCATTTTCAACAATTTAGTAAAAAATAAACATAAGAACCCCCCACCCCCACCACTAAAGTATATCTGGATGTACCTCTTCATAGGAGAGATCAAACTGTTCAGAGAGAGTCTTCAGCATTAAATCAGACTGCCTCTCGGAATCCTCAGCAACTTGCACTTCACCTAAATTCAAAACAAATGTCAGAAATGATTACACATAGGTCATTTATATTCAATACTGATTTTTAAAAATTTTCCATTACGACATCTAATGACAAACAAGGACTTCTTGAGTACATGCTTTTATCCAATGATGTTTTTAGACATGTTAGAAATTGAAATAAATGTACATGTGCAGTGTACAGCTGAACCTCGGTATCTCGAACACAGATATCTTGAATACCATGGATATGTCAAAGTGATTTGGAAGTCCGAGTATTTCACCCTCAATATCTCGAACCCTCGGATATCTCAGTTTTATCATGGTCCCATCAAGTTTGAGATAACAAGGTTTGACTGCATATTGCCACCTCTTCACTTTGTTTCACTAACCATATGGAGAATTCAACTGAAATCCAGGCGTGGTTCTCAGCACGTACTCATAACAGCACACCAAGATATAGAAAGCTTCCACTATCTGTCCATCTGTCAGTAGTCTCTCTGAAATCAGTTACATACCATCTAAATAAAATGTCCCTGCACTTTGTAAGAATGCAGCCTACAAATAATGCCTCCAAACTTTGGTAAACCATGACAAATTCTTCACAAAAAATTCATGATCACAGCATCTGCCATGCCAAAGATTAAGTAATTTAAGACTTTCAAAGTCAGGCACATAATATTTCAAGTTAGATATACATGTACAGTAAGTATACAATCACATGCATCTATGAATGGGATGCATGAATCAGAGAGATTTCATTTCTATGTTGTTACTTAACAAAAAATTCTTCTACAGTGTACATCACTTAAACATTCTGACTAAGCCTTACCTTTGGCCAACAGAAACAGGACCCAGCAGAGCTGCTTTTTGTTTGTTACACAGTTCTCTGTATGTAGCGGGATACTGCTGGTGTCCCTTGAAAGCAAAGATAACGAAGAAAATTACTTCACATTTTAATGGATATACATTTTGTACAAAGTACTTCGTAAATAATTCATTTTCTTAAAATTGCACATCAAAAATAGCAAAGTTTCCTTAAATTAAAAATAAATGTACAGTTTATACCCTTTCTGTTCTTCTTTAAAGATGGTAGAACACAACCTAATAAGAAAATATTAAAATTTACAAAGGCAATACCACAATTTGTCAGTTGGTAACATGACATATTCTGACTAAAACATATCCAAGTCCTAAACAGTTTCTAAAACAGTTCAAACTCCCTTGAAATGAGTTGTCTTTTCTTCTTGAATTGAAAAGTACTGTAAAAGTGGTTATTTACACTGGTTGTTAAGTACGCGTTTGTGACCATCAAACATTACGCGTGGGTGTAATATACGCGGTCGCACGAGTTACTGAGAAAAATTTACGCGGCCATCGTTTACTAACATCGAGTTGTTCCCCTTTGAAAAGGTCAAGTAGTTAACACGCATGAATAAGAAAAAAAAAATTAGAAATTATTACAAACTAAACAAAAAGAATTTATACTGTTGGATTACTAAATATAACGGCGATCTGCACTGTCAAAAGCGGTGAAGTGTGAACAACTGGTGTACGCTTTATTGTAATTATTTACGCAAGCTCAAACTTCAAAGTGGGATTTACGTACCTGCATCTGCGCGGCGAGTGTTGGCAATTAATTCAATAGGTATGTTTTTAGTGACTGTGAGTTTGTGTAACATTTTGGACTAATTATTAGAAATTAAGAGGGACATACAAAGGAAATGAAAATGAGTATCGATGTTTTTAAGCTTTAATTGCGTGACGTTGCTTTAAAATATTTAATATGAAGATGCATTTTTCATAGCACAATTAAAAAAACAAAGAACAGTTACGTTTTCATCACTGTTTGTGATGTATTTTTCTACTCACATGCGTTCAATACCACGATTAATATATGACTGGTTCGACCGGTCTAACAGTATAAGTCATGGTCTAGAATGATTCCAGAAGTTTGAAATTTTGTGACCATACGCGCGGTGGTATTTTACGCGGTTCTAAGCTTACCGCGTAAGTAGTGTAAATTTCCCCCACGCGTAAATAACCACTTTTACAGTAAGCAAGTGTAAATGTGTGTTCGAGTAGGAGACATCTGTGAAATATATTTTTGAAAACACAACAAATCAGACAGAATTAAGGAGATCATATCACCTTTCATGAGTATGAAACAATGCTGACACAACACAGTACTCCTTCTCGAGATGTTTCAGGTGGAATCGCACAGCCTCGCTTAGACATGCATCACGGAAATGGTTCATCCACTTGAACAATACTGGCACACTGAAAAAATAAAACATACAAGTAAACCTAATTCCCTTAGAGTACACGATCACAGATGTTAAAGAATAAATGAGAATTTATATCTGTGTTAAATCACAAAATGCGACCAAATATTTACTAAACAATTTAGTTTCATTATTTCCTGTAATACATACAATTCGTACGTTACTTAGCAGGAATTACAAAAGTTATCAGCAATCAGGATACCGAGTTTATATTCTTGCCAATCATCATGTTTATTGCAATTTCATAATATTGAAAATTTGACATGCATAATGAGAAAGGTATATTCATAAAATAAAGCTACTCTGTGAAAAATAAATTCAGAAATCTCTTCAGCAGAGCTCAAGTGATACTGGACAAAAGTTCTAAAGTATCCCACTCCTGTTTGAAACAACAAAAAATACTTGTGGGAGCTAAAAAAAAAATATTTTTACTTGCCCACACTGCATCCATAAATTGTCCCACTATTTTCCATAAATGTCTAATTTCTAATTTTTAATATGTGGCTATCACATTTTTGGTTGTTGCCATTCCTAACTTTTGAAACTTTACCGTAATGCTTATACATGTACATGAAGTAAGATATGGGTTGCAGGTTATTGCAATACAGTAACATTCAGCAAAATTTATTGGATGGGGGGCTATTGTTTTAAATTGTTTATCATATACTAAGTAGTAAATACACCGACTCTGCTCTGTGCGATATGGGTGACGTTGCAATACCCACATCAAATTATTCTTCAATGACTTTCTGTGAACTCGCATATCAAGTACATGTATTTTAAAAATGTGATCAACAGAATACTACATACTGAAATCCATATCATATGTCATATCAGCCCAAGTGGCCCTCGGGCTGATATTGGGCCACTTGGTCTGATATGACATATGATATGGATTTTAGGATGTAATATTCTCTATTTGTAGATGGGGTAATTTAACTTTTCTCTTTACTGTAAATATATCATTTTAGAGTTTATTGCGTTATTAGAGTATACATGTATTTCAATTCAACATGATTATGATTCTTCACAAGTTAGTGGATAGCGATAGTTTTCTGTATAGTTTATTAGACTGGAGTACCATTCTGTACAGCTTATTGGAGAGGAATACCATTCTGCATAACTCACCTGGTTTCGGATTTCTGTAGGATATCTGTCACAGTTATATCCGGTTTCTCTAAATACCCAATTTCTAGCTGAGGATCTGACGGTCCATATGGCATTCTGATAAAAAAATTGAAAAACAACTTAACAGAAATTTAAAAGTTTGTTTTAATATGTACATGTATTTAAAACTCATACTTTTAACTTCTCCTTGGAGTTGATAAAATTAATACCAGTAGTAACTTCAAAAATTTTTGCCACATTTATGCTTTATATATATATATATATATATATATATATATATATATATATATATATATATATATATATATATATATATATATATATATATATATATGTATATATATATATATATACATACATACATATATTATGTGAAAAATTACAGGTTTACAACTATCTTACCTCACTGAAAGAGAAAGATACTCCAGCATTCTACCATAAGTTGTTACTTAGTATATCAGATAAAGTATGCTGATATTACACAGTTACTGCATGTACTTGTAATTGTCACATAAAAGCATACATAAAAGAAAATGTCAAAACAACATTACCTTATATCAATGGCTGCAATATATATAGCACACACTAGTGCACTGGATTTGGAGATCAACTAAAATCAGAAGAGGTGAGAATTTTAAACAATATAATCTAAAAATTGTTTTCTCTAGCATATATTTGAGCTTACTGATGAAAAATAAAAATGGGAGCATATACGTTACACATCAACACGCAACAACAAAATATTAAACATCCAATGTGAATGTTATGCATAATCTTTTAGTTAGACATAAAATTTTCAATGTCTCTTCTTATTTTGTTAAACTTAGGAAAACAAGTCCTTATTTTGAAATGCCGTTTGAATTTTCCAACTTACCTTGAATTCATCTTGACGTTGTAGTGATTCTAAAACACTGTTTGCTTTTGTCCTAATTGATTTTGGTAGTTCCATAGATGTTGCTAATCTTTCCAGATCAACATCAATCAAGTTTTTGAAGGACCTGCAAACATTTACAAGACTAAGGATTTGACATGTAACCACTGAGGAGGAAAATGTGATAAGACTAAAACAGGATTCAAACTCACGCCCCCTGAATCAATTTAAGTCAGGTGCTCTACTAAATGAGCTATCTGGCCACTGGGGATCAAACCTGCCTGACCTCCAGACGGCTAATTGTATTCGGCGCGTCGGCGCGCTCGCGCAACAGATTTTGTTTATTAAATAAATTATCGCTTATACAATTCCGTTAGCATCGGGCGCGATATCATAAATAATCAAAGTACTGAGAAGTACAGAGAGCCGGGCCCATTTACAGAGAAATGAACAAGTCCGTTTTACATGAAACATACATTGTAATTACAGATGAATAACAACAAGACACTGGAAGAATATGTAACACAAAAATATATTTATGGCATATAGTATGAATAAAAAATGTTTAAAAAAAAATTAAATAAAATACAGTTTGAATTTAACAGCGTAAACAATTTATCACTTGTATCGTTTCGGGGTCTAACATCACTTACAGAAGTAAATAAATATTGATGCAACAAGGTCAAACGTTTATACACAGACGGGTCCTCAGCGAGGAGTTTTGCATAAAGGTGTGCATCGGGTCACGTGCTCCCCACACAAGTGTTAGCCTGGTAACAGAACCTTTATTTATAGAATGTAAAACTGGCAAACTTGATGAAATTACCTTTCGCATTTTTTTTAGACAAATAATTTATTGAAGAAAAGGGGAGAAAGATTATTACCATCATTTTTTTTTTTTTTTTTTTTGAGAATTTCTTAGTTAACTTAAATTTGTTTGATTAAGTGTTTGTATTGCTTCAAAGGTGGTTGAGCATACGTGCTACATGTATATTCTTACTCGTATTTAAAGATGTACACGCTATATAAACGCGATTTTTTATGTGAAACAAAATGATTAAATGATTTGAGAAACATGATATGTAATAAAAAATAATTACTTTCCACAAAGTTTTACTAAATAAGTCGTTGTAATTACAAATCAATTAAGCAAGATCTGCAATTAAGAATTCAGCCTTTTCATGAATATTGATGAAGAAGTGCGTAAACAGTATATAGACACGCATGTCCGCAGGAAATCATAGACAACAAGGTACGTTACATTTTGACTACTATTTTGAATAAAATTTAATATCTGTAATTACAGAGTAGATGGTTAATAATGGTTGTTATCAAAAATAAGTATCTTTAAACAAAAAACGTATGCCATCCATGTCAAAAGCTATTTTGTATATCAAACGGCCTCGTTTTCTTGACGCCATTTTTGTTTATCAATCTAAAAGTAGCGACGGTGTCACATGATGCATGAATTTAAATATAGCATTACTTTCCTAGTAGGATAATAAATAATTATAATTTGAGATCTTTATAATGCGTTCATTTCCAATTGTGTAATTTTCAATATTTTCGTAACTTTATTTGGTAAACAAAATAAATAAATTTCCAACTTTATTTTTAACTGACGCAAGTTATAGCGTGTATATCTTTAATTTGGCGGTGAGCTGAAGCAGCATTTCCGGTTGAACACCGTAACATAAGCCGGCTATTGAGAGAGAGAGAGAGAGAGAGAGAGAGAGAGAGAGATATAAATCGAAAGTAGGCCAACTCAAAAAATTGGGGTAAATTTCGGATTACTCTAGCACAAATTGTGGTAAGGCATGCAAGGATCAAAGGGGATCCGGATCCCTGGAAAATTCAAATTTATTTAAACTGACATAGTAAAATTACTAAAGCTATGCCTCGGACCTCTTTCCCTTGCGATTTGAGCCAACACCTCCTAGGGAAAAATTTCTGGACCCACCCAACAAAAATTACAATCGGGCTCGGGCTTTCGACTTGAATATAAGCGATAATGCTTAAATTATTAAGAAAATCGATGTCATTTGAGTGTTTTAATGCAGGGAGAAAATACTTTTGTGATATTGGGATGAGATGGACGCGCTTGCGCGCCAACGCGCCGAATACAACTAGCCCTCCAGACACATATATCTGTGATTATTAATTTGATTATTCCCAACATAAACCAGATATATTAAGCAGTATCCCTAAAGTTCTATACTTTTTCCAAGAAAAATGTACCAGTATTTTTTTCATTTTTCACTCCTACATGTAACAATATTTCCAAAATTCCAAATACACACGACATTGTTAGATATATAGCAAAGTAGGGGCAGAGTTTCCGAAAACCATCAGTCCTACTGGCAATTCACTATATAACCCGTCCGAATGACCGATTATTTTCTGCATTAACAATCCATTGTTTTTTGGGTTTTTTTTTTTTAAGTTTTCTTTGTACCCCTTAAGTTTTGTCTTTTGTTCGTGATCTCAAAAGCCTTTAGCGAGTTACTTTCTGGCAATGTAGCAAAATAAAGGGGCAGATAATTCTAATCTACACTACTACGAATATTCTAGAGAGTTCCAATTGTCAACATGGCATGTAAATTCGAAGCAAGAAAAAACGTTGAAAAAATGAGTTGAATTTTTTTTATATGGGTTATTTTTTAGGAATCAAGCTCAAAAAGGTTTGTTATGAGTATAATTTATTTTCAGTGCAACTCCTTTTGTATTCTTCAAACTTGTTTTGAAGCGGATCCCATTGCAACTATTAATATGTGTGACATATTTTCACTGTGATGTGGGCTGTCTCAAGACTCAGTTAAGATTATTCTTATTAATCGTACTCTGAACTATTGAAATGCCTCACAATCGGTGTTGTTGCGATCCGCAGAATTATTTACACACTCAATCTTAGTACTTTCAAGGCCCAGTTATCTAGGTTGGCATTGATTCTGCAGCAATTTAACGTATACTTTCAGGTAAAAGAGACAAGTCCTAGCCAGTGTCACATTCTTTTGAATTACATGTACATCATGAATTATACTAGGATTTATTCGGACTGATAGAATTTACGTCGGACTGGAAGAACACATTACGTCATCAGTCCGAATAACTGATAGAAATTAATATTTGGTTTTCGGAAACTCTGTAGGGGGCCCGGGGGTAGTTTATTCTCTATTCTACCGTTAGGGAAGGGCCATGGACAGGCTTTAGCCAACACCTTTGTACGCTAGCCTACATCCATGTATAAAGGCTAAGGTCCACCGTCCACTTCTCTAAAGAGAATTTATAGGGGTAGTTTTCTTCAAGAGTTGTAACTTGTAAACTGTAATTACCAACTTAACCAAAAAAAAAATCAGATTCCTGTGGTACATAATTTCTACTATCACATATGGATCGATACTGTACCATTCATACAATATTATCAGTACATACAACATAAAAGGTAGATTACATACTCATTATCGTCCACTGAAATTTCAGGGACTAATTGAGAAGTCCCGGCATCTTTCTTGTCAGACATGATGACTTTTGTTTACATCCAACGCCATTCTCTAATTTCCCGCCATTTTTTTACTAGTTCAGGGCAGAATATATGTTGTATTGTCATTGGATGATTTACGATTGTCGGATTTCGATTCCCGGACTTTTGGAACCAGGATTCAATGTTTTGTCGCACAAAAAAAAAAAAATTATATACAGGGCCCTTTTTTTTAGGTTTATCTCATTTTTTGTAAATGTTAAATACACTATATCATGTACGTATATATATCAAAATTTTGTTATCTTGGATTAACCTTGAAATGTAATGGAAATCTGAACTTAGCTATGTCTATGGCACGCCGATTGCTTCAAAATTATTTTCTGCACAACGATCGCGATTTTATACACGAGCTTGATGAAAAATATACACGAGTAAAATAAAAATGCACGTATCGGTAAAAATTGCACATAGTTTGAAAGATTTTAACACAAACATAACGAAAAATACACGAATCCGAAATTTTTTACACGATTAATGGGTATAAAATGCACAAACGTAAAATCAAAAACTGCACGAGCAGAGGAAACTAAAAATTACACAAACAATTTTACTGCGCATACAGCTGCGCATATCATTATTATGCACATAGAATATTCATTGTGTTCTTGGTTTTCTGTACTCTTTATCTCTTCTTGAATGCTGAATGTAATCGAGAGAAAATGGCGTTGACGATGATATGCATGTTTGTTTGCTTCTTTATTTCTTTGCTAAAACTCAATCCGATTTCTAGCTAATGCCAATCAAACGAATGAAGTGTTTTCTTGTGAACTGTGTGAAAAAAATTAAAAGTTGTTCGGAGAGATTATATTTTTCTTATATTGACCGAGATCCTAGCCAAAATATGGAGGTATTATATGATGCCGGACATAAATTGTGACAAGAAAGAAATCGCATGTTTGCGTTATAATGCGGGGGAAAAAGTACCATTGCATATGATGCACACGACTCTGAACTAAAAGTAATACATAGCAAACTAGTACTCTAAATTCCTAACGATAAACAGATCTTGCTTTAAAAAAATGATAGAATTATTAATTAATTTTTTTAAATATACGCTCTATGGCCTTTTAAAATTATCTAACTTATAGATACAACTTTAACGGAAATTACTTGTATAAAATAAAATTAATTTAACACATGCATAATAAAACGATTAATAAAGTGGATTCTTCATGAAAATGATAGCAGAATTATTGCCGATTATAATCATTAAATTGTAGAATTTATTTCGGTACTTCTCATTTGTACTAATTATGATTTCATTTGAGCAGATTTTTTTTGATTTGGGAGTTAGCTGGATATATTTTTTTATTTTCAAAAAGATTAAAAAGTGGAGATTACTTGACCTTAGATATACACAGTATGTTTTTTAAAGTCAAACATAAAAAAATATTTCTAATTATACATGTATCTTTACTTATAAAATACGAGGATATCAATTTTGGTTGGATATCTGTAGCCTACACTGTTATGAATTCCTTCCATGATATCGCATATTTTCAGTCAAAAACTGCTCAATAAAAAACAAGACATTCCTAAGGAAAAGATTTACCCTCATTCGTAATGGCGATTACTTGATAAATGTTTTCACTTTTAATAAAAAGGACCAGATAAAGGAAAAATATATACTCTATGTGCTTTATATACATGAGGTTTTGTGTTTTGTTACTTAAAATTTGTCCAAATGAAATAACAAAACTCTACTCAAATTATCCTGGCACCGGTTAAATTAATGACATTAGTGGCGGATCTGGTTCGTGGATTGATTGAGTCGCAACATCTGAATCTATGTATTTATTAAAGTTTCAAATCGTTGGACCATAATGACACGTCAGAAATTTTAAAACATAGTGAATTACTAAATACATCTACAGACAATGTTACAAATAAGAAAATGGGAATGGATATTATAATAAATAGAAAGAACATGGAACGCGTTTTATCGCTCTTGAAAAAAGCAAATAAATCATGTTCTTTATGGAGCTCGAGATTTGACAAAGATTTTCCAAGATAACAAATTTTCTTTACATTTCGAATTTGTATGCATAAAATTTAATTATTATCCGAACACTTGTTTTTTTTATAATAACACTTTTTTACCTAAAGACATAGTCATTATAAAAGGAACATGATTGTATAATTATAAAATGAAAATAATCTTCAATAACATTCAAGAAGCATATTTGATACAAGCTCCACTTTTTAAAGGATTATTCATGTGCATATCTAACATTTTTGAAAATTCAGATTACGAATTAAAAAGCCTAATCTATGCAATATGAATTTTGTACGTATATATGTACAAGTAATTAAAAGTTTGCTTTATAGCAATATTGTCCATGTGTATCAATGGCATCAACCAGGTCTTGTTTTTACTTCGAGCAATGACGACGAATAAAAATAAGAAAACATATGATGAATATAACCTTCAAGAAATTTTTGTTTTATTACCGTGTACAAATTTATTATTGCCAAAATCTGCATTGAAAATAATTATGCATGTGTAGCCAAGTCCCAAATAATTAAGTTCATCTTGTACATCTTCTTGAATTTGGTCTTACAATATCGTTACAAATCAGTTAAATTGCAATCCTGATTTCGATAGACTATTATATGTTCCCTTAAATTCTTAGAAAATATTTCAGGCACGTAGCATCAGTAGGGACCTGCCCCCCTTTTTTCCAAACATAACCTACTTCTATTGTAAATGTCCACTGAAAAGCTGGTTGCCTCCCCCCCCCCTTGTTGTAGGATAGTTTAAATCAAAGTAATTTGGTATTATAATGTGTTTTGAAAAGAAAGTGGAAGGTGGACACCCCCCCCCCCTCCCCCACGAAATAGGATTTTTTTGAGTTTGTACATTTTACCTTTTTTGTTGCTTGTCAAGGTTTTTTTTTCAGGTTGTCAAAAAAAATAAAATGTGGCTGCCCCCCCCCCCCTTTCAAAAACGATACTACGTGCCTGTATTTTATAATTTTAAATTTTCTTCACGCCTTTATATGCATTTTAATTATTCAAAATAGACTACGGCCGGTACATTAAAAACAACATAAAATTAAAGTTTAATTCACATAAGTAAAACGACTGTGTAATTTTTCTACAGTTTCATGGAGTTTTATGAAATCACCACACGTTGCTCAAAAGTTAAGACTACGTGTACTACTTTGTTACATACATATATCAAAAAGTGAGATATGCGTTTTAATATTAAAATTTCAGTTGCGCAATTATTTGCTCGACTTTCTTTACTGATGACTTCCAAAAAGTTTTCGGTCAAATTCCACAACCCAGATGATCGCAACATTGCTTCAAAATCCTTGTATGAATTGCCAGTAATCTTTAATCAAAAAGTATTATTGATGTGTGAAATAGCTATAAATCGATTAGCGTACAGGTGTCTTTCGTTCCAGAATCAGCAGGGAGGGATCTCTGTATGAAAAGGTCACGCATGCACATCCTTGATTATTACCAAAAGTACACTCAGTGGGTGGTGGAGGAGAAGAGTTTGATTTGTTGTTAACTCTCCTGTATTATTTCACATGTTGTTTTTATTTATTTTAATTTAGGCCTATATGTCATTGTTTTAACCTTTCAAAAGAAATTGCTATATAGAGGAATGACCTCCTAAAAAAATCCAACAATTAAACACACAACTGTAATATGCACCCCCCTTATTTTTTACGTTATTTATACATGTATTCTTTGTAGAATGTTTTTTATTCGGGAGTATTCATATACTACAAGTTTAAGATTGTGTGCCTGTCAATTTATCTACATGTATAATATACGTTGTACATATTCTTGAGAGTCTAGGGGAATTTTAAAAGAATCTTTTTTTAAAAAGATTACTAACACTTTACTCCTCCTTTTGTATGTATAGTATGTTTCAAGCATCCAAGCCACATTGATCTGTTCTCTAATGAATATTAATGAAATGTGCGCAATGAGGATGCGTTGTGTATTATGTCGATGTTGTATTCTCACTCGTGCAGTTTTCGTTTTTACGTTTGTGTAATTTTCTCACTATATCGTGTATATATTTTGTTGATTGTGCAGTTTTTCTATAGTTTGTGTAAATTTCAATAACTTCGTGTATATTTTCCTCACTTTGTGTAAGTTTTTACTTACTCATGTAGTTTTTGTTTAAGGTCGTGCAGAAAATAATTTTGAAGCAATCGGCGTGCCATATATGTCAGTACTTATGGAAAAGGCCAGAAAAGCCTATTTTAAGATTAAGAAAACCATTGGTTTGGATAATCCATGTAAACTTTTGGAAAAACTCTTTGACTCAATTATAACACCAGTTCTTCTTTATTGCTGTGAGATCTGGGGTATTTATAATAACATTCATTGGTGAAAATTCTATAATTGAAAAATTTCACATGAAGTTTATTACGGAAATTTTAAGGAGTGCATTATAAAACTACTAATGCTCCCTGCAGAGCAGATCTAGGTAGACATCCCCTGTGGACAAGAATACATTTTTCAAGTATAAAATTTTGGAACCATCTTATTACTTCCAAGAATACTTTAGTATTTAAAATCTATAAAGCAACAGTCAAAACTACGAAAGCCGGATAGGCTCATTTTTGACAAGACAAAAAAAAATATTTAACTCGTTATAACGAGATAATTATCTCGTAATAACGAGTTAGTATCTCGTTATAACGAGTTAGTATCTCGTAATAACAAGTTAATATCTCGTTATAACGAGTTAGTTATCTCGTTATAACGAGATGATTATCTCGTTATAACGAGTTAGTTATCTCGTTATAACGAATTAATTATCTCGTTATAACGAGTTAGTATCTTGTTATAACGAGTTAGTTATCTCGTTATAACGAGTTAGTTATCTCGTTATAACGAGATAATTATCTCGTTATAACGAGTTAATTATCACGTTATAACGAGTTAGTTATCTCGTTATAACGAGAAAATTATCTCGTTATAACGAGTTAGTATCTCGTTATAACGAGTTAGTATCTCGTTATAACGAGTTAGTTATCTCGTTATAATGAGATAATTATCT